AATTGTTTATGCCAACCATTGACAAGAACTGTCTACATGAAGAATCCAATGACAATGGGATTCGACTCTTAGACTTTGTTTCAGGAAGAGGGATGACAGCAGCACCAAGTTTCCACACGAATATATACATAAAGTTACTCAGAACTCACCATATGGAATCACTCACAACCAAATTAACCATGTTCTAATTGATCGAAGGCACAGATCAGACATACTACACGGAAGAAGCTATCGAGGAGCAGATGCAGACTCTGACCATTTACTTGTAAGGGTTAAATATAAGAAAAGAATAAGCATAATACACAATAGCTGAAATCAAATATAAAAGCTATATGATTACCAAAAAATTACCTGAGACCCACCAACCGCAAAAGCTTACCAAAATGAAGAAGACGCACGGCTAAAAGCATTACAGGAGGAGATAAACAGGGAAAACAACATAAATGAGCAGTGGGATATATTAACAAATGGTATGAAAAGATTAGCAGAAAGCATAGTCGGATTTCACCAAATTAACATTAGAGTAGGCTGGTTTGATAATGAATAATCAGGAACCGTCGAAGAAAGTAAAAATGCACAAATGAACATGATATAAAAGGAAACCAGAAATACAAGACAAATATACAATGAAGCCAGAAGGAAAGCCATGAAAATCTGTAGGCAGAAAAAAAGCTAAACTAAATGAAATAGAAGACTTATCAAGACAAGAAAATATTAAGAGGAATGTAAAGAATAGAACAGACGAAAAGAATGGATTCCAAGCCATACCTGAAATGTGTGAGACAATGTTGGAGAATTAATTAATGGAGAAAATAGTAAAGTACTGGAAAGGTGGGTTGAATATTTAGTGGGAATACTAAATGCAGACTAGGACAATTTGAAAATTATCAACTACCTCATGGAGGACAAAACTCTTTGATAAACTCCCCAACTTTGGAAGAAACTAAAGAATTAATCAACTCTTTAAAAAAGAACAAAGCCCCTGGAGAATTGCTGATCACAGCAGAACATATTAAATATGGAGGAAGAGAACTACACACTCAGACACACACATTTTTAACTAAAATTTGGCAAAAAGAGAAAATTCCAACAAAATGGCAAAAAGCACTAATAACCCCATAGACAAGAAAGGTTCCAAATAAGGGCACCAATCATTTAACACAAACTTAGATTCAAACACCTTAATGTCACACAGATCGACATCGGGGAAGAGGTAGCAGAAATCGAGGATGTCAATGTTGTGTGAGAGCAATGATGGAGAATTAAATACGTAATATAATAAAGTACTGTAGAAGTGGGCTGAATATTTTGAGGGCATACTAAATGCAGACAATAGACAAGATGAAGATTATCAACCACCACATGGAGGACCAGACCCTTTAATAAACTCCCCAACTACACACTCAGACACATAAATTTATAACTAAAATTTGGCAAGAAGAAAAAATTCCAACAGAATGGAAAACAGCCCAAATAACCCCAATACACAAGAAAGGTTCCAAACTTCAATGCACAACAACAGAGGAATTCCCCTATTAAATTTTAAATAAAAAATACTGACAAAACTAATTGCCAAAAGACTACAACTGTACACTGAAGAAATACTAGGTGACTACCAATGTGGATTCAGACATAACGGATCAACGACTGATCAGATTTTCACCATCAGATGCCTATTAGAGAAATGTTACGAAAATGACACCCGAGGAACAATAACAGAATACTTTCTGAGGGAAACCCAAGATCCACAACCAATAGGCACTCTTTACAACCAACCCCTTCAGTATCTTGCATATGCTGATGACATAGCACTGTTAGGGAAAAGTAGTAAAGAAATATCAAAAGCTTTTATTAAATTGAAAGACACATCAATACAAACAGGACTGAATGTTAACAACCAAAAAACAAAATACATGAAAACCTGTTCGTTAAGAGAAGGACAGACACATAAAACCATTACAATTAGAAACCACAATTTAGAAAAAGTAAATCAATTCAAATACCTAGGATCTTTATTAAATGAAAGAAAAAAATCACTAACGGAAATAAAAGAAAGAATATCGGCTGGAAACAGGGCATACTTCAGTAAAAAGTAAAAACATTACAAGAAAAACAAAGAAAATCATATATAAAACTGTAATCAGACCCATAGTGACATATGCATGTGAAACTTGAAACCCTAACAAAAACAGCAGAAAACCTATTCAACACAAAGGGAGAGAAAGGTTCTCCAGAAAATATACGGACCAACAAAGTATGAATATGGATGGAAAATATGAACCAACCAGGAATTGTACAGTCTATATCAGGGTCCCACGATAATAGCAGAAATAAAAAACAGCACGCTATGCTGGGCTGGACATTAAGAAAGAATGCCAAATAAGAAAGGAGTAAAGAGGGTGCATCACCAAAACCCCACAGGAAAATGGCTCAAAGGCAGACCTAGGCTTAGATGGATGGAAGATAAGGAGAGGGAACTAAAGCAGCTGGGAATCCATGCATGGAGAAAAAAAAAAGCATCAGATAGGTCTGATTTGAAAGATGTGGTTAGGCAGGCCACAGCCCTACATAGGCTGTAGTGCCACAGGGTGGTAAAAAGTTGGTTGGTGGTTATAGGAACTAAAATTAGGGGCCACTTCAAAGTGAGTGGCATCCAACCCTTAAAGAAAAAGAAGCTAAGCTATCTCCTGCATTCAGGCGGAAGCCGGGTCTTCAACAACAATGGCTAAGGGGATGGGGGTTTGCAAACTAGGGGGTTTGCAAACTAGGATTTTTGGTGCGCTCATAATTAGTCTGGTTTTAAACTTGGGTCACTGTTTCCTTGGGAAACATTTTGAAAATTAATAAAATAGCGCCCTGCCTTCCGCTTAGTTATTAGTTTAGTTTGCCTCAGAAGATATTTCAGTTTCAGTCATGCAAAAAATTCTGCCCTTCAAAATAAAAATCATTGCCACCTGGGGCAGACCAGCCCCTCGGCAAGCCAATAATTATAGAATCTATTGAAATATAATTTCTCTATTAAAAATTTCTCGAGAAACAGTTTAAGTTACTGATACTGATACTCAGTACTGACTGTTATGTTAGGCTAGGGTGTGTTTTTGGCTAATCCAAGAGTACTTTATGAAACTATGACGTATAAATTATAAATGACTTATTCATAGTATCTGGTATTATAGAAACTAGAGTGATAAGACCGGGTAGTAAAGTTCAGTTACTTTAATAGCGTCTGTTCTCTTTTTTTAAATTTAGATTTCTAGCAGACAAAATGTGGGAGAATTTCAGCAATGTAATTTCAATTATTTTTCAATATTTATTTTTGAAATCAATTCAACAGTATTAAAATGTAAACATTGTATCTACTTTTTCCTTTAAACAATCCTGGCTAATTTGTTTAGCGAAAAGATTATTTTTTATAATTAATAAAGAATTTATGTCATACAATAAATATTTAAATGAATTAAAAATACATTGAATAGAATTAGAAGATGAATAAGCTGCCATGATGACTTTCCATTCTACAAAATGGCGTTTGTTTTGTTCAATAACAGGCTTACCTGGCAATGTAAAGGGATTTTTAAAAAAAGCTTGAACAAATACTACAGATAGCAGGAGTCGGCGAACTTTTTTTTTTAGCCTTTACTTTTACCTTACCCCAAAATAACTAGTTTTTACGCCGCCTTTACACCGGGTTTAAAAGGTAGAAATTCATGGACTTTTTAATTTCATAATGGTTTTATTAAATCTTACAGGGAGAAAACAATTATATATATACAATTACAAAATGAATTTATAAAATAGATTAAGAAAATCAATTTATTGATCACTTTGGCTCCTGATTTTAATTCAGAGCTTGCCTCCTCATCGATGAGTTGCCGTCTAAGGCTAACGAGTCCCAACCACCCTGGGTGCTTAGGGTGTTGGCTTTGGTGGGGATTGAACTCCAGACCACCAGCTATTTGGATTGAGTCAGTGTAAACCGCTTGGCACCCGGAGTGACAGGCAATGTGTTCAGACTGGTAATTGACCCACTTCCTATCAAGCTGAAACTTGGCACATAGACTCGTTGCTGACGACAAAACATTCTTTCAAATGTTTAGCCCTCATCCCCAATCTCAAAAATCTGTTTTTCAAGGGGAAGATAAAATAAAAATTCCGAAAACTGCGCTAAATGAGATTTTTTTAAACAAAAAATTGCAAAAGCGGAAAGGTCATTTCATTAGAATATTAATTTAATATATATTTCAGGGGCGTGAAAAAAACATCGTGCGGTTTTGAGCCTTGTGGGGAAGCACTAAATAGGATTCTTATAAAGTACGTTACTTGTAGACCTATGCATATTTTTGTCAAATTATCAGCCCCACACCCATTGCTCAATATTACATTTTATGTAAGGATTTTTTTCGAAAACCTATTTTTTAAGAGTTGTTTAATTTTTTGTTAGTCTTTTATCTAACGTAGATCTTTAATGAAACCCACTCGAATGAACAATGTCACATATCATATATGTTATTTTTTCCATTTGGGGTTACCCTCTGGGTGGTCGTCCTCCCGATGCGGTCACAGCATTCCCACACCCCCTAGTCTAGCCTCACTACTGGATCCGAATGATTCACACAACGTAACTTGTTACTAATGCAATTATTCCCGTAAATTTATTGCAATGTTCCTTCTGAGCATGCATATTTTAAAATATTTAACAAACAATTGGCAAATTTATATACGTTGTTGTTGCAAATTACCATTGAAAAGAATAATCAATATGCCCATATAATAATTTATCTAAATTAAAATATTAATTTTTATCAACTGTGGTGGTCGAGAGTGAGAGTTATTTTCAATAATGCCGAGCTCGCTTTTTTTTTTTTTTTTTTTTTTTTTTTTTTTTTTTTTTTTTTTTTTAATTTTTTTTTTTGTTTTTTTTTTTTTTTTTTTTTTTTTTTTTTTTTTAAATTGTACTGTCCATTTCACGAAGCTTACTTTTTGGATTTTTGGAACTAGGCACTCAGAATTCAACTTCCTGTCGAGGACAGTGATTTCTCAGAATCAAGATCAGGCTTATTTGTACTTGAAGCTTTCTTGTAGAAAATTTAATGGCCTACACTATGCATTAATCGAACGTGCTTCTTTTTGAAAATGTCATACACAGGTATATAGATTTTTTAGGTTGCACATGTTCCGTGGTTTATATATTATTAAAATTATTATCGAAGAAGGAATCAAAAGATGCTTCCTTCCGCTTCATCATAAAATGAAAAACATTTAATAATTTAATTAAATTTAAGGCTACCACTATTAGTATTGTTGAGAATCATGCCCATGACGTCATTTGCGTGTTTATTATAATAATAAATAATAATAAAGTTCATTTAAAAACAAGCTTCATCCCCAAAGGCTCGAAGCGCGGTACAAAGTCAAAAAAAACACCAAATCTATAGTAGATACTTTGGTCAAAAATGTAAACATTTTTTTTAAAATAAACCAATGGCACAGTTGAATAGAGCTAATTTTAAACAGAATTATAACACCAAAATCATATTTTTAGCTGTTGTAGTTTTAAAGTTATGAATTTTTAAAGTACGACTTGGTTTGTCCTTTTTTAACATGGACTGCATCTCCACATTCTGTGACCTCATTCCGCCGATCGCGTCATGCGCAATGACTATATAGTTTATATAAGGCTAAGGCATTCCCTTATCACTAAAATACTGTTTAGGGTCGATTTATTTTAAACTTTCAACTTTGGCACATGAATAATTAATTAAAGCTTTCCCTGACCAATGGTTTAATAGTTTTTGCACACGGCAAACACTTATGAATGAAACTCTGAGATAGTACTACGACTACGATATAGCCGTTATGCAAGTGGCTGTGAATGGTTGCCAATGACAACGTGTTGCACAAGGAAAATTCTGATCATTTATATTATGGACTCTGCAGGGTTTTTAAAGCTCAAATTAAAACATTTCCAGTTTAAATGTCTTCAAAATGCATTCTGAAACACAAAATATAAAATATTTTGATGTATATAGTGGTAATAATTAAATATTTCCTAAGTATCGGCAACTTCCGCCATTAAAAAGGGGGCGTGGCCCACGCCATGTCGAAATAAGGCGGAGCCCCCTTATGGTGATATGGGTCACTGGGAGAAGCGTAGCGAACGTGGGACACGACCTACATCAATGAGAATTGGCACAGATATATATCAATATCTGATGCCTTACACGATTTAATATGAAAGACCTGTATTTTATATTTCACAAAAAATTTTGCATGCGAAGATGCCTTATATATACCAAAGATTTCCAAAATAAAGGTCGATTGAAAAAGCAAAATAGTTGGATGGAAATGTAGGCCAAGATGTCTTCCAAATTATAAGGCCGGAAACGGAACTCAAATATATGTCCAAAGAACTAATTTAATAATAAATAGACACACACATCGGAAAATTAAAAACTCGGATTTTTCGGCGCCGACGCCCATTTCCGATACAAAAAAAGTAGTAGTCTCCCTTGTTTTATCGAAGTATCTATCTATAGTCTATAGTTTACCACATTTAAAACAAACGCAACACGACAAAAACTAAGTACAAGCATACAATGGCAAAGTCTTTCTAGCCATTTCAACCATAAGCAACACAGCCATTATGCATTAACTGGAAAATAATGTTGACAATCAACATTATAGTTGCAGTGAATTAGGGTTCAGGCTAGGCATAAGGATCGATTTAGGGTTCAGGTTAGGCATAAGGATCGATTTAGGGTTCAGGTTAAACTAGTAGATACTTCGATAAAACAAGGGGGACTACTACTTTTTGTGTATCGGAAATAGAAATCGGCGCCGAAAAATCCGAGTTTTTAATTTTCCGATGTGTGTGACTATTTATTATTAAATTAGTTCTTTCGATATGTATTTGAGTTCCATTTTCGGCCTTATAATTAGGTAGACATCTTGACCTACATTTTAATCAATTTCTTTTTCATTTAAAATCAGTCAGCTTTGAGAAAATCCTTGGTAAATATAAGGCACCTTTCATCATTAAAATTAGGCCGGCACTGCGTACACCGCGGCGGTGTACCTAGCGAAACTATTGACTTTGGCCTGCATACACCGCGGCGGTGTACCTAGCTAAATCATGGTCTGTGTCCTGCGTACACCGCAGCGATTTAAAGTAGCAAAACTATGGTCTTTGCGAGTCTTTAACTTTTTGGTCTAACCGGTACTTAAAGATTTAATGTTATACTCGTGTTAAAACTGAAAAGTATTTATTTAAAATTCGTTTATTACCTTGGGCGTAGGTACTCCAACTCAAATTTTCAAATACATCTGACATACACAAAGAACATATCATTGGAAAGAGCTGGCTCTAAGCTTTCCAATGACACCAAGATAATCTTTCTATCACTTATAGGAGAAAAGTTATGAATTTTTTAGTGATTTATTTTTCCCCACTATTCGGCTTTGTATTTAATTTTTAAAACTGTGATCGCATAAATACTCTTTTTGTACTACTTTGCGTGTATCTTTTTGGCTATTAGAGTTAGAGCTCTCAAATTTGGAGGAGACATTTACAATACAATGTTTAACAGAATAAAACACATTAATTGTGAATTAACTTATTATATTTTTTTAAACATGACTTTATGAGCATATGGCGTGGATAACGACAATCGTCGAAAAATTTAATTTTTCAAAAAATGACATAATTACTAAACCAATAAAGCTATTGCTATAAAATTTTCAATACAAACAGATAATATCTATCTAAAAGTAAGGTAAATAAATAAAATGCAGATCAGAATCAGAAAAATTTATGCAACGTTAGAGAAAATATTTTATGAAACGTGACCGCGGCCGAGACATTCTTACACTAAGACTAAGAAAGATAACTTTTAAACTAATCAAGCTACTGCAAAGAAATTTTCAGCATTATAGATAATGACAAGTGAGGTTAAGTCTTCAAAAAGGTTAATAAAGAGAAGTGGACTGAGTGGAAGATTAACAGGTATGAATAACAACTAGGTAGACTGAAAAAAAAAGATTGTTTTCAATTAAATTACGCAAAATTCAAGAAATGTCCCTAGTATTAAAATTTATTTATTTCATTAATTTAATTCTAGTATTAATACAATTTAGGTCTATTAATTAATACACCCTTATAATTAGTAGTCTAGGTTTAACTGATAATAAAAGAGAAAAAATACATTATTTATTGTTGAGAACCAAGAGGAATTCCTATCGGTAAATTGTTCAATTTCTTATTTACAAAGAATAATTGTACTAACATTTAATTTAAAACAAATTATTATTTTTTTTTATACATTTATATTGTTTATTCATATTAGAATCAAAAACATTTGTTTAATTAGATGTTTCAATTATTTAGAAATGTTTTATTTAAATCTTTATTTCCAAATAATTTCACCTCCCTCCAGTAAATAAAATTATGTAAAAAAAGATGGCCGCCGTTTTTTCATAACATGTGGATTTTTTTGGATCGTTCAGTATCATAAATTTTAGACATGGCCAGTGATGTTAACAATAACTGCTTTCGATGTAAAAGTGATCAGGCTAGACCTATACATAGTTTTTATTTCTCTCTTTTGCTATACAAAACTATCGGCATGAGTTTAAGCTTAGCGACAGTTCGCGCTCCAACGGTTCGCCTAAGACAGGTCAGAATGGCACAGAATTTATACCATCATGACCGGAATTCTTCAGCGAATAAAGTTTAAGACTGAAACTTATTTTTAGAAAATGACACATATTAACAACAAAGCCCGACGTATACCGAAACCCGCCATTCGCGGCTGGTCATAGAAATGTACCAGGCCAACCCCGCGTTTTTTTTTGCCCGCGACGTCCGGTATTGGAGTGCCTACCTTGGGAAGATATTGAGTAAGTTCCACGCTTATGTGGCAAAGTACATGTAAAGCATTTCTTCTCATTTTTTGGAAGGGAGGGGGCTGCAGTGGCGTAGCGAGGGTGTTTGGCGCCCGGGGACAAGATTCGCGCCCAGGGACAAGATCCATTTTTAGCTCCCCTTTTTCTTTTTTTCAACTCTCAAACCCATTATTTTCATCAATAAATTAATATCAAAGCACATTTTGGTGCCCGGGGACATCTGTCCCCCCCTGCCCCCACCACGCTACGCCTCTGGGGGGCTGGGGGTGTAATGTTAAACCATGATTCATTTTTAATGTTAACCACTTTATTCCCCCCTCCCCCAATATATTGAAATACAAATATCTTTATTAATTGTTGTAAGTTTTATCATATGATTGTGAATCTTAATAGGCATAAAAAGGGTAGCTAATTTTAAATTATTCTCTCATGCCCCCCCCCCCCACCCAGTTGTTGTTGGTTTTTTTTTTTGGGGGGGGGGGGGTTTNTGAATGGGAAGCCAGTGAATCTATTTTGTTAGCACCAAGATATAATTACGCCACAAATACACTACGGGAAGAGAATCACATACTCATACATTGATCATGAAGTCGTGAAGTTAATGTTGTCTGAGGCATTGTCATTGTGATACCAAGCGTGTGTCAACACAAAACAACAGTATGATGATAAATTATACGAAACACTGCAGTGATTGTTAAAAGTCTTATAACAATAATTAAATATCATTGATTTAGTTTTACATTGGCATTACACATTAGTAAAAAAAATGCCGGCGGAGGGGGGGGGGGATGCAAAAGGTAAGTTTGTTGTGCGGACGTCCTTTGTGGTCAACCCCTATCCAGAGCCGTGATTTGTGTAGCCCCCTTTTTGGTTAAGCATCTCCCATAACTCACCCCCACCCCCGGCGAGGATCGATTTCTTGACAAAAAAAAAACAACAAATACAAAAACTTTGACATAGCGCAAATCCTGTCCCAAGCCCATTGTGCAATGGTTTCTGTGAGAAAACGTCGTGTTTTACCCTGTGAATAGCACATGTCATGCCATTCTGGAAACAAATTCCGTCATGAAAAGGGTAAACGCAGACCTATGGCTTTGCTATACAGTTTGCTACCGCTCCGCAAGTTTCTAAAATCAAGGTGTTTTCAAAAGATTTGCTGTGAGACTGAGTGTTGTGAATGAACCTTTGATATCGTATGTGCATTTTGCCAATACATAAGGCTTAGTGACAGCAAGATGGTTCAAGGTTGAAATACGACCGTGCACATTAATGACATTAATATTCATATGGTATGAATATTATTCATACTGGTATTTTCTTTGGGTGTTCGTAAAAGTAAAATGTAAATATTCAACTACATGAAGAATGTTGAAATATAATAGAATATCACTTAGTCACATAGTATTCATAATGTTTCTCTTATACATGTTACATACACTATACATGCGCTTTCAGAAACTTTAAGTTTGTTTTCAAATGTCTAAAGTCTTTTTACTAAATTTACCGGTATTTTCAAAGTCAAAGGCTGGCACAACTTGTTGAAACACTTATATTTATATTGTGTATTAAATATAATATTTAAACATATATTTAAATTGTTACAAAATATTTTAAAACTAAAATGGGAGGAAAAACAACTCGATACCCTACTGGGAATTGATCTCAAACTATATTACCACCAAGCGTCCACTCTACCACTTGACCACACAAGATCTTTTCTAACAAGCATATCTTAAAACCAGCCCAATGGTACATTTTTCCGCGGTGTACCCAGGCTTAAGCCCATGATTTCACTAGGTACACCGCCGCGGTTTACGCAGGCCAAAGCCGATGGTTTCGCTAGGTACACCGCCGCGGTGTACGCATCTACTTCGTTAAAATTAAGTTGAAGGAAAAGATTTGTCACTACCAAATTTTTTTTGCATCTGGGGAATGTATTGATCTACATGTATGCCAATTTTCACAGCGATAAGTGTCTTACGAAAGACACCATGTTTCTATGCATACGCAGCAGGTCATGCAGTTTGCTCAACCTAATTTGGCCATGGGGTGGGCCACGCCCCCCTTTTTAATGGCGGAAGTTGCCGATACGTAGGAAATATTACTTTATTACCACTATTTACATCAAAATATTTGATAACTTGTGTTTCAGAATGCATTTTGAAAACATTTTAACTGGAATGTTTTTAAGTTGAGCTTTAACAACCCGGTAGGATCCATATTATAAATGATCAGAATTTACAGTGTGCAACACGTTGTCATTGGCAACCATTCACAGCCACTTGCATAATGGCTGTATCGTAGTACTACCTCAGAGTTTCATTCATAAGAGTTTGCCGTGTGCAAAAACTACTATACCATTGGTCATGGAAAGCTTTAATTAATTATTCATGTGCCAAAGTTGAAAGTTTAAACTAAGTCGACCCTAAACAGTATTTTAGTGATAAGGGGATGTGTTGCCTTAAATAAACTATATAGTCATTGCGCATGACGCGATCAGCGGAATGAGGTCACAAGATGTGGAGGTTTCGTCCATAGTAAAAAATACCAAACGAACTCACACTTTAAAAATTCATAGCTCAAAAAATACTTAAGCTAAAAAGTTGATTCTGGTTTCATTTTTTTATTTGAAATTTGCTCTAACTGTGTTATTAAAAAAATTATTTCAATTTTTTTAAATTTTGTATTCAAGTGCCTAAGGTTAGGCATAAAGTAGGGACCTCGGTATGGACCGGAAATACCCGAACAACAGGTATCGTATTTTCGTTGTCATAATGGCGACCTCTACTTTTTAATTTACTGAGGGTATCGTTGTTTCGCGTTTTATAATCAATTTTTAGCATAAAAATATAATTTTACTTTCGATAATTACTTAAAGCAGACATCTTTCCTGTTATATTAAGAGTTCGTTTGATTTTTTGGGTCAAGATTAAAGCTTTGAAAATTGAAGTTAAAAATTGGTCAACTTCACTCAATAATAACTTTTTTTTTTAAATGCGCTCAATAATAAAAAAACTCTGCTCATATAATTTATAGGTTCATTTACAACATATCCAAAATTCATGAGTGTAGACCTTGGGTTGGCTTCAAAAACGAATTTCCAAGATGTCATTTTTTTAAGGCTATGTAATTTGTCATCATGGCCACCGTGCTTGTCTGCTTATTTCCAATTATTGATAGCAGCCGTGGGGTAATTAATAATTCATTAAGTTGGTTATCCAGAGTGTGTATGGGAAATATAACTAATAATAAATCATTTTATATAAATAAAAAATGTTCTATAAAATAAATAATTATTATTGGCTTATTGAATATCAGTGATTTTAATTTTTGGGTTGGTTGCCATGGACCTGGCTGACACTGACATGGGATTGATAAGCTCTTGTCTTTGACTTAGATAGTGATAGGCTTAGTAAAAGTATTATAATAGTAATTATACTATTATAAATGATTTAAGGAGTGGAATAAATAGCTTTTATTACAACTAATATATTTATCATTTATATTAGTTTATATATATATAGATAAATATTTATTTGTATATATATATATATTATATAGATAATGACCATAGGCTATAGGCCTTGTATACATATAGTATAATACAAAGTGTACTTTATCAGGATTAAGGCCTAGACCCAACCCAACTAATTTGTAGGGCCTATTATAATAAATTATATTATATGATATTTTAGGATTTGTAATAAAATTTTAACGAATATTGTGATTCTTACTTAAGGCATAAACTAAGTAAAACATTTTAAAATATTCACTTACCTTTAAGATTTAAATATCCTATATTTAATCACATATCACAATATTCCACAAGAGAATTATTATATAATCCTCAGTTTCTCAAAGAAAAAACACACTTTCTGGCACTACAATCCAAGAATTACTTAAGATATTATTACTAAAGAACAATCATAAAAACCTGTACTTACCTCTAGTAAATGACTAGAACTTATTTTATTAACAGCTAAAGTCAAAGTTGATTCTAATAATACATGTTGATTTGTAAAACAAGATAACAAACTTAAAATAAATGACATGCTGATTGTTTTGTCATACTCATAGGAATAATATATATAGTATACATATGTAGAAAATGGTAACATAAAAAGTGTAATTGTCAATTTTAAATAAATAAAACAAAAAATCCCTTTATTATTTGTTTATGCTTATAAATGCTATACAATTCCACAGAAAATCTGCAAATAATATCTAAATAATATTATTATGATTTTTGGGAAATTAAAAACAAAATTAAAACAAAATTTTAATTAATTACAAATAAGTGACGAGTCAGTATTTTTATACATTTTTGATAGGTAAATAACAAAATTTTTTTTTTTACTATTTGCGGCACATTAACAAAAACGAACATATATTTTGTGGCTTTATTTAGAAGTACTCTTATTTAACTATGTTCCCTGTAAATATTATATTTTTGTCTCATTTTATAATAAAGTTATAGGCGTTAAAAAAAATGCAAAATGAGCGTCACAAAATGTGGAGGCAAATCCCATAGTAAAAAAGTGGTTTTGAGGTCTCTACTAAAAAAAATCATAACTTTTGAACCACTTGAGCTAGAAAGTTGATCTTGGTGTTTTTGTTATCTATTCTCCAGGTTCTATACAGCTGTAGTGTTTTTATATTTTTAAAAAATGTTTTGAAATTTTCATCAAAGTGACTACATAGAGATCGATTTAGGGATACATTAGTTATTAATGACATATTTAACTGGTTGTGTCAACCAAGATGGCGGCCATCGCAGGCATTATTCTCAACATTTACCAAATTTAATATGATCATTTTCATGTCGACCAAAGTGACAAGTGAAGAAGCCGTGGCGTAACTACTTGTTTTTTACAGTGTGGAAAAATAAAGATTTAGAGTAGGTACTTTGATAAAAAAATTAAAACTTTTTTTTGTAAAAATAAACCAAGGCATAGTTGTAGATGCTGCGGTAAAGCAAGGGAGACTACTTCAAAATTTTGTATCGAAAAAGGGCGTCGGCGCAGTAAAATCCAACTTTTTAATTTTTTAAAGTGAGCTTCAATTAATTATTTAAATGAGTCCTTTTGACATATAATTGACTTCCACTTCCACCTTTTCACTTTCGAAGACATCTTGGCCTACATTTCCATCCAGCTGTTTTGCTTTTTCAATCCACCTTTATTTTGAAAAATCTTTGGTATAAAAATAAGGCATCTTCGCATACAAAATTTTTTGTGAAATAAAAGGAAAAGGTCTTTCATATTAAATAGTGAAAAGCATTAGATATTGACATTTAAGTACATGTGCCAATTCTCATTGATGTAGGTCGTGTCCGACATTTGTTATGCTTGTTCCCGTGACCCACATCACCATAAGGTCGCTCAGCCTAATTTGGACATTGTGTGGGCCACGCACACTTTTTAATGGCGGAAGTTGCCGATACTTAGGAAATATTTAATTATTACAACTATTTACATCAAAATATTTGATAACTTGTGTTTCAGAATGCATTCTGAAAACATTTATCCTGGAATGTTTTAATTTAAGCTTTAAAAACCCTGTAGAGTCTATATTATAAATCAGAATTTTCCGTGTGCAACTCGTTGTCGTTGGCAACCATTCACAGCCACTTGCATAAAGGCTATATCGTAGTACTATCTCAGTGTTTCATTCATAAGGGTTTGCCGTGTGCATAAACTATTAAACCATTGGTCAGGGAAAGCTTTAATTAATTATTCATGTGCCAAAGTTGAAAGTTTAAAATAAGTCGACCCTAAACAGTATTTTAGTGATAAGGGGATGCGTTGCCTTATATAAACTATATAGTCATTGCGCATGACACGATTATTTTTTTCGAGGTTAAAGCTTTGAAAATTGAAGTTGATAATTGGTAAACTTTACTTATCAATAACTTTTTAAAAACTGGTCCAAAAAAAGAAAAAGGTTTCTTTAATTTTTAACATCATTTATACATATCCAAAATTCATGAGTGTAGACAAGGGAGTTTGGTCAATAACAGAGGATTTGGTAAAAAAATACAGGGTTTGGTCAAAAACTAAATTTTAAGAGGTCATTTTTTTAGGCTTTGTAATTTGTCATCATGGCCCCCATGCTTGTCTGCTTATTAGCAATTATTTATAACAACCCTTTGGCAGTTAACAATTCATTAAATTGGCTATCCAGAATATAAATGATGAAAAATGTTTTATAACATAAATAATTATAATTGACTAATCAAATATCAGTGGTTTAATTTTGGTGTTGTTTGACATGTGGACATGGGAATTGATAACCACTTGTCTTTAACTTAGATACGCCTAGTAAAAGTATTATAATAGTAATAATATTATTATAAATTATATTTGGAGTGGGATAAATAGCCTTTATTACAACTAACATAATTATATTAGTTTATATCTTTATATATATTTATGTATATACTTATATATATACACACATATATTTATATTTACATAAATACACACACACATGTATATACCGTAGTTAATGGCGTAAAACACTCACCGGCTTATAACATGCAGCTCATTTTAAGAAGGAAATTTCAGGGGAAAAAAAACTCAAATTATATCGGCGTATAACACGAACACATCATTTGCCCCCTATTTTCAGGGAGAAAAAGTGTGTGTTGTAAGCCAATAAATACAGAATATACACACATGGCCTTTAGGCCTAGTATAGTATATAGTATAGACATAGCTCTAACCCAAATTATTATTTTTAGGTCCTATTCTATTCTAATTAATTAGGTATAATTATATTTTAGGCTATGCAAGTGTAATCATATTTATTGAATATTAATATTATGATTGTTAAGGCATAAATTTAGTATCTATCACCCCTTAAAGTTATTCTATCAATACACGTTGATTTGTTAAACAAGTTTACAATCTTAAAGTGAATGACATACTATTTTTTTTGTCATATTCAGACAGACATAAGACAGGGACTAAAATACATACATATATAGAAAATGGTAAAATAAAAAGTGTAATCATCAATTTTAAGTAAATAAAACAAATAATCCCTTTAATATTTCATTGCACTTATAAGTGTTGACATTCCACAGAAAATGGGAAATTAATATCTAAAGAATACAATTAGTATTATGATTTTGGGGAAATTAAAGAAAAAATATTTAAACAAAATTAATTAATTAATTCCAAATAAAGTCAGCAGATTTTATACATTTTTATAGGGAAATAATAGTTTGTTTTTTTTAAATTTGCGGCATATTAACAAAAACTAACTTATATTTTGTGGCTTTATTTAGAAGAACTCTTATTTGGCTATCTTCCCTGTAAATATTATATTTTTGTCTCATTTTATAATAAAGTTATAGGCGATTTAAAAAAAAAATATAAAAAAAATGAGGTTCACAAAATGTGGAGGAAAACCCCATAGTGAAAAAGTGGTTTTGAGGTCCCTCCTCAAAAATTCATAATTTTTGAACCACTTGAGCTAGAAAGTTGATCTTAGTGTTTTTTTTAATCTATTCTCCAGGCTCTATACAGCTGTAGTATTTTTATATTTTTAAAAATGTTTTGAAATTTTCATAAAAGTGCCTAATATTTATATTTCAACATCCCTATTACTCTCTTCAGTATTATTTTTTCTTTAAATAGAGCTATACAAATAATCACTCGTCATCATAGTATACTTTATTAAACTATTTAATATTGTACTTTCTACTCCTCACTCACTTCCCTTATCACTCCTGTCTCAGGCAGTCCAGGGACTACATATACCATATCATACTGTTGTATGCTTTACCAGTATCATGCCATTGGCTGTTGGGGCTGATGGGCAGTTTGATGACATATCCATCTTTAAAAAAAGGGCTTAAAGCCTTGCACAAGACGTATACTATATCAGTGCTGTCCAACCTTTTTGACTCTGGGGGGCCAAATTTTTTCCACATTAAGCCATGGGCAGCCCATGACATCTTAAAAGAAATGTATATTTTGTTACTTTCTTTAGAAAATTATACAATTTATTTACACTTCTTACCTATCTCTGTTAACATTATTATCTAAACAAATCAAAACTTTAGCACATCTTCAATGCTATATTTGGCTTTTACTTGAACTTGCAATCTTCTTAATTTGCGTCTGGTAAAAAGTGACTGCTGCCCTTATTAAGTTTACTAAATGTTTGTCAATCAAAGCATTTCGTTTTTTGGACTTGATGTTGGTCATTATAGAGAATCCAGCTTCACAGACATAGATGCTTTCAAACATCTTCAATACCTTTTAACTACAATTCAATAGTTGTGGAAATTCATTTGAAGGTCATCCAGAATTCACTTGCCGATGTGTTCTTATGTTTTTCATGAAGAGCCATGTTATGCTGAATCTTGATGATTTCAAGCTGCACTGCACCTTCTTAGCTCCTAGTGAATAATGTCATCTTTGTGGCTACAATGTAGATATCAAACGTAAAGCGTTTTTCAACAAAAAGTAAAACTGGAGTAAGACTGCTTTAAAATGATCTCGTAAATCTAACTTCAACCTTTCTAAATTAATTCGTTCACTTGGGACCAGCTCTAGAAGTTGTTGTGCAGCCTTTGCAAGGGCTGGGAAATGAGTAAAATTTGAATGATTCAGTTGAGTGATGAAAAAGTCCAGCTTAGATTTTTAAAAAGAAAAAGTTCTTTCATCAGCGTCAGTAAGATTTGAAAACACCCATGCCGTTTTAAATTTGATTTATTAAGGTGGTATGTGATGTCATTTAAAAAAGCTAGCCTTTAAATAAACGGGGCGTTTCCACCTAATTTAACAAATCGCCCTTTGTTTTGGACCTGAAAAACAGTTTTACTTCTTCCATTATATGCCAGCATCTGACCACCGCCACTTTCCCCTTTCCTCAGCCAACAAACAGTATGAAGAACAAAAACCCCCCAAATTCCTTTGATATTCTTCTTTGAAAAAGTCTTAAACTGCCGGTGATTTAAAGGATTAGCTTGAATGAATTTTTTTTAAAATTTCACTACACTATCCATAACATATTGCAGTATATCATCTTTCAGCTTTAAGTAAAGAGATTGCTGGTGAATTATACAATGATACGCTTGAATGTCTTAAATATGATTGCCAGACATCAGCAAACCAATCAGGCCAACTCTCCTGCCCACCATTGCTGGAGCACCATCTGTTGTAACTGAAATAAGCTTCTTCAAATCAATACTATTCTTTGAAAAAACATTTCTTCAGTGCCTTATAGACATCCTCATAGACAGGGGCTGTATTTTTCAATGGAAGTAGGGCCAATAATTAGTCTTTAAATGCATGTTCCATGTCAAATCAAACCCAAACAATAAGTTGGGACTACGTCAGTGACATCACATGATTCATCCAACGCAAGACTGAAACCAAATCATTTTTCAAATCATGAAGCAGCTGCTCAACTAAATCCCCAGACACACTTTCACCACATCATTTCTGGTGAGAAAGCTGAAAATTAGATATTTGTTATTTCTTTTAATTTTATATTTCTTCCTTGTTTTTAAATTCAGCAAATAATGGATCTGCACATTCTTGAAAACAAAGTTGTACAGTTTCACCATCTGAATATGGTTTTTGCTTGTCAGCTAACATCCAGCTAATATTAAAAGATGCTTCAGTAGCACACTCACTTGAGCTCATAATCCAACGAAAAACATTTCGCCTGCCATTCACATCCTTTTTAAAATAAATAACTTGTTTGTCTCTTAACTCTGTTCCAATTGGATACTTTTTCTCAACATCTGCATGCACTGACTTCTGGTGTCTCTTCAGGTTGGCCATTTTCTTAACAGAAATAGAAGTCTGGCATATATAACACACTGGATTTTTTATTTAAAAAATACAAACAAAAAATCTTGATCCCATGAAGTGTTAATAGTACAGTTCTAGTTCTATTCTCTAACTTTCCATTTTTTACTTGCCATTTTGGCTTTTTTTTTTTTTAAAGAAATAAAAATGCTTTCAAGAATTGTTCATACTATCTCTCAGAATTTCTCCCTGAGTGAATTGCACTAACTCCAAACACAGCATTTAGCCTGCTTTCTACTCCTAGAACTGATCATACTCTAATCATTGAATATCAGGTATTAGTCTGAAAAATACTGAATGGACATCGTACTCTCACCTGGACAGACTGCATATTTTGTTTCAACTGGTTCACATTCCCTTCCAGTCATCTTGTTTACATTGCCCTCCAGTCAACTGGTTCACATTCCCCTCCAGTCATCTTGTTTATATTCCCCTCCAGTCAACTGGTTCACATTCCCCTCCAGTCATTTGCGACACCTTGAGTACCCCAGATCTCATCTAGTTAACTCCTATCTTATTGTTATCTTATAAAGCCCAGTCATCTTAAAAGGTGGTGCTCACTTATCTAGTTCATCTAAACCTGTCCCTTTGGAGTGCATGGACATATTTACGATGACCAGCTAGCTACACATCAAGTTACCATACTTTGTGTCCAAATTCATCACACACACACACCCACCCCACCCCTTTTTGGTTTTTTTTTATGCCATTCCAAGAAGCAGAAAGGTGAAGTGAGAAGTTAGTATCTAATTTCATGTCACCCCCAAGTTCCCACATTCTTTATCTGCTGAAGACCATAACATAAATTACTGCTACCTGTCCAGCTTCTCTCTCTTTTTGCCACACCCCTTCTTTTTTTTGTTCCAATGTCACCACTTCTCCTTTGCTCTCATGCAATTTCCCAACAATACTGAATCACTGAATGTCTTGGGATTTTGTTTATTCTGTCTAAATCTGATTTTTTTTTGGGGGGGGGGGGGGTTTGTTGGGGGGGGGGGGGGGGGTTTTGTTGCACAAATGGTCAAAATGTCTCAAGCTATGGAGGGCCATTTAAAAACTCAGGCTGCATGAGGGCTGTTGGCTGGACAGCACTGGCTTAAATAATCAGGGGTCAAGTCTTGGGGGAAAAAAAAGACACACACCCCAGTTGTGATAAATTTGTATTTATTTCTCAATAAATACAGTCTGCAATAATTATTATATGGAAAAAGTACAGGGACACTGTTCCAATGCATTCCCTCAGCACTCAAGCCCTGTAAATATTTGGGTCCACCATAAGTTAAAGTCTTGTGTACATATCAGCTTTTCTGAACAACTCCTGTTAAACTCCTAGTATATTTACACAGGATAAAAGAACAAGTCTTTCATCAATAATCAATTCCAGCGTGAAAAAAAATCATAAGTTTAACAATTTATTTAACAATTTACAAAGCAAATGTATAAACTTGTGATTCTCCTGGGATGCTAACAAAATTTTACTATTGCTTAACAAACTCTTTAGTTCAGAAGATTTTCATTCTGCACCTTTATTTAAAGATAAAATATTTTCTTTTCACTAGCTCGGAGTAGGCCCTTTTTTGTTTATTGCATTCAAGCAGCATTTAGATGTTCATGTTGTACTTAATGCCTACCATTGATGAGAATTAAATATAATATTAAGGCTGCCCAGTTACATATTTAGGATTCATGATTTACATGTTTTTCAAACCAAAGGATACCAAAATATCTACAGGGCGGCTTTTTAAAAAAACAAAAAAACACTTTATTATCTCTAATTGTATCTTTTTGTTTTACTGATATTTTAGATTATCAGCATACCTCGTCAGGAGCAGGCTATAAGTCATCTTACTCGCATCAATACAACACAACTCACTACAGTGCAGAAACACAAGGGGGGCAGTATGCATCATCTGCACCTGGTCAGTATGAATTTGCATACACAACTGACCCGTATCCTCAAGCGACAGGTAAATCATTACTTCTTTCAAGATTTTATCCAGACTGCCTTTTTGTTAGGGTTTTGTTTCTGTGTTACTGTGAATCTTGACAAGTTATCCTTTTATTAAAATGTAGAAATGAAATCTTTTCTTACGACCTTGACATATATATTTGTATACACCAGTCATCCTAGATTTCTTTCCTCCTTTTACAGCTTCTGTGCCAACAAATTATAACCAGTTGGGTTATGACAGCCAAAATGCCTCAGCCAGCACTAATTATGCCCCAGCCAGCACTAATTATGCCCCAGCCAGCACTAATTATGCCCCATATTCCTATAGCCAAGAGAGTGCCAGAGTTGATCAGTCTCCTGTAGGATACGATAATGTTTCCGTTGGCTATCAGCCACCACCACCTATGTACGCAAACCGCTCGGTTCACGATCCTCCCAGTCAGACTCCAACAGATTTTGGTTCATACACCTACCAGCAGGCAGAGTACAATCCACCTGCAAGGTCATATCAAGACAGCCAAGATTACGCCGGCTCATATCAGCCAAGTGCAACTTCTGGGAGCTACAGCTACCAGGAGACACCAGCATACACACAGAGCGGCTGGACTAGTTCCAACCAGTATGGAGAGTCCTCAAATCCAGCCACTTTTTACAATGGTAGTGTTAACTACGAGCACAAGAAACCTTTTGAAAATGCTGAACTTCCTGTGACACCCACTGGATATTTTGACAGCAGGACTTCTGCACATGATGACTACTTGCCCAGGTCTGAAACTTACCCTTCTAATGACAGGTATTCTGTAGCAGAGCGCTCAAATGAGTTCTCGGTATATAAACCCGATCCTGTGAAATCATTTACTTTGCAACAGAATTATGACACTGACAGCCCCGGTCGATATAACCGAAGTTCCAATCAGACAAATTTGAGGGCTGAACTTAATTATTCCAGTGCAAAAACTCTTGAAGTGGTCAATGCTCTCACTGGTCTGTTGGACAATCTAAATGCACCGAGAGATGCTGTCCGTGGGGCAGGTAGGGGTGGGATTCGAGGTTTAGGTAACAGATTTGGAAACAGAGGAGGCGACAGGCATTATAACAGGGAAAATGGTGCCGCACAAGCTCCAAGAAAATTCCCAGTGAAGACGGAAGCTCGCCCAAAGGGACCATCGTCATTTGGTCAGCGTGGATCTATGCAGAAAGGACATTCTGAAAATTTCGCCGGTAGAGGCGCACCTGGCCATCGTGGGAGCCAGCCAAGATTCTCCAACAAGCCGACAGGTTTTGATGCCAGGAGTAGAATAAATGAAGTGAGAAGCATGAATGCTACTTCTGGTAAAGTCACCAACCGACCATTTAAGACTCAGAAAACACCTACTAAAAAAGGTCCTGCTCAGACTGAGACATTCAAAGCCCCATCAAGACCACAGGACCGGCTTTTAAATGAAATTGAAGAGAGGGAAAAAGCCAAGAAAGCTGAAGAGCAAAAGAAATCTCCAGAAGAGCTAAAGAGAGGAGAAGAGGAGGCCAGGAGAGCCGCAGAAGCCGCTAAGAAACTAGCAGAGGAGGAATTTCGTAAAAAGCTGGCCGAAGAGGCTGTGAAGGCGGCTCCCCCTAGTAAGCCCCCGGAGACTCCCGAAGAAATAGCCAGGGAGGAAGAGATCCAAAGAAAGATCCGTGAGTCTGTTGTTATTATCAGTCCTGAACAGGAACTGGCTTTGTTGAAGGATGATCCCAGCAAGGATGTTGAGATGCCAGACCAGCTGCGGAAGCTTCTTAAAACACTAGCCACCAATTACCTTTGTAAGCTTTGTAGTGTCAGGATTGTGGGCCCGCAGATGGCTACAATGCACTACAATGGCAAAAACCATCTGAAAAAACTGCGTAACTTTGTCCAGACTAATGGCCGGTCAGCTGGGTTTAACATGGAGACGTCAGAAAAAGCTGACGTTGTAAAGAAGCAGGGAGAAGTGAAGACAGAAATTGTGGAGATGACGGTAATTGAGACCGCCCTGAAAAGGCGGTCAGGTCAAGGTTGATTCGCCATAATGTATTGCTTTTAACATGCCAATTAAAGGGTTGTCCATTAAGAGGGCTCCCTATTGTTTTTGACCTAAGCTAAATGAGATAGTTTTGTGCCTTTAACATATTTAAAAGCAGAGTTTTATGGCTTATCAACTCTGACCTTAATACCGTGAAATAAGATTAGAGATTTTTACTCAACAGCCATGTTTTTTTTTAAGCGGTTGCTCTCTTCTTTAAGATGCTTTCATACAATTTTAACACCCTCACCCCCCACAAAAATGCTTTGAGTAATAATCTGAAATCTTTTTTCCTGAAATTTGTTATCTTGATTACCGGTTCCAAACAAAATGCTAAGCACAATTTCAGTTCAGTATGTGGTGATGAAACAAATGATTCTTTGGACTTAAGTAAGATATTTATTATGGCATCTTTGAAGTTCAATTCTGAACTGGAACTGCGTCAGTGTACTGCAGGTGTGGTGTGGTCCTCTTATTTAACTATTATTTTAACACCTGCTATTAGTGAGTAACAAGCCTCCGATAACCCAAAACACTAGAAACTAGAAGCAGAGCTGTTCATCAAACATTTGATTTTTTTAAAAGTTTATAGAAATATCCTTTTGAAAGGGTTCAAGAGATGAAAAGTCCATGCTTCTTCACCTGCTTTATAAGTATGTAAACTACAACAAAGAAACACCATTTAAAGGTGATACAAAGTTTTTGTTTATTAATAATTTTTTTATTAGAAACCTTAAGTCGGTCTTTGATAAATATTTAATTTATCATATTCAAAATGTTCCCCTTTATTGAAGGGGGGAAAAAAATGTTTGCTCAGAAATTAAAGTGTGCAATATGTATAGTGTTCAAAGACAGCACTATAAAATCACCTGAGACCCTTTCTGGGATGATGAGACTGTAAGCAGAAGCATCAATGTCTTTAATAGTCTCATTGCTACTCTCATCAAATGAGGTAACAATTTTATTCACTTGACACCATGCCTTCCTAGGTCTTGACTAAACACCTCTTTGTAGATGTACATGTCTTAAGGATGTTCCATTGGTTTTGCTTAACCTGGTGCCCCCACTACATCTAATATAATTTTTGTAATTGAACTATTTTTGCATGACACTCATTTCCAGTGGAATTCAGTTAAGTCATAATAGCTGTTTTATTGATCAAAGTAAACTAACCCTAAACAAATCTCAACTTGATTGAGTAATTTGCAATTTTTACTGACAAGTCATTACTGAGAAATTCCAATAGTTAAGAAGTAAATTTGGTAGTTTACAATAAGTGTTGTTAGAATTATATTAGAGCAAGACCTTAGAGCAAGACCTACCATACACAGATTCCAATGTCTTTTCATAAATAGCAAAAAATTGTTGGATGTTATTTAGAGGGTAATAATTGCAAACTGAATTCCACTGCAATACAGAGTTGCCTAAAGAGAGATACCTTTGTGAAACATCTAGTTAACAAAAATGAAGACTACATTTATTTTCTTCCTTTTCAGTAAATTATGAGCTAATGTTTTTGTGAGGTCTTCCATGTATCATATAGTCGCTGAGCCGAGCGAGATTATGATTTTTATATCTTCAGTGTTAATAGGAAGGTGTTTTTTGACAAATGGATGTATATGTAAAAGTATTGAAGTTGTAGTGTCATAAAATATGGCTGTCATCTGGCAACAACAAAAACTCTACTTAGTTGGTGGCTGATTGCTAGTAGCATACTGTCCCTCTCCCCCCTCCCCATCTTCTCTATAAGCCATTTCAGTATATTTATTTATAACATAACAGCTTTTAAAAATATTCTGTTTTGTTATAAATTAACAATTTTCCCAAATTTAAACCAAAAAAAATTACTTGGTAGTTTCAGTACATGTCAAACTGACCTATTTATCTTGGGATTAAATTAAAATATAAGTTTTTCTGTTGTTTTTTTTTTTTTTTAATGAATGAGATATTTAACGTGGTGGGGGGGACAAATAAAGTAACTTTGATATGGATATTATTGATCACAAATAACATTCTTTGCAAGAAAAAGTATATAGTTATTTGATGCATTAAAAAAATTAAAATATAAGTTTTTCTGTTGTTTTTTTTTTTTTTAATGAATGAGATATTTAACGTGGTGGGGGAGACAAATAAAGTAACTTTGATATGGATATTATTGATCACAAATAACATTCTTTGCAAGAAAAAGTATATAGTTATTTGATGCATTAAAAATAACAAGATAAGTGTGTGTGGGGGTGGGGGGATGTCTAGATAATATAAGAATTACCTCTCAAACATCATTTTACACAATTTTTTTTTTAAAAATCAGTTGATTTAAAAAAAAGAAATACATTTCTGTTTAGTAGACTCCAAAATGTCCGGCCCTCAGTTTCTGGCAAAAATCCTATTTAATTTTGTCCTCTTATCCTAAAATTGTCTTGCCAAGGTTTTCAAGCAGTTCCATTTCAGAAAGTAAATGAAATTTTGAACCAAAGATGGAATGTGGGCAACCTCCAGCCACATGGGGCCCATTAAAACATTTAATCAGACCCATAAGAGCTTAGGGGAACTGAATACATTTTTTGTAAAATGTACGAAATATGTGAATTCTTATATGTGAAAGCGTTGAAAATTAATAATAAAAGTAAAAATTGTCTAACTGTAAATAAAATAAATCACGTCAAATAAATGACATGTTGTTGAATTGAACGTGGAGTAAATTTTAAAAGCTGACCTTTATTGATTTATATTAAAAATTATCATGCTGCTTGCGAAATTTTGTTATATTTATTTAGCCTCCTGCAAAAAATCAAGTTGTCCACCCCTGTTAGTAAACTCTTCATTTTCAAGCATGAGAGAGGAGGGGGGCTTATACTTAAAAGATAATCGTATTTAAAGTAGCTGTGAAACCAATGAAGGGCAGGTGCCATGTGCCAGGATCATAAGAAAATAGAAAGGGATCGTGGACCATGAAAATGCACACATCACATTTTGTTTCGCAATTACTATTTTAAAAAATTTAATGTGATGAAAAAAATGTTCTATATTTTAGTAAAAATATTTTCCTCAATATTTTGTTGAGGTCCCAGTTGAGCCATTCCTGATAAATTGAGTTTACTTTATTTGATGTACCACAGGCTTTGCTGCTGCAAATTTAGTTCAGTAAAATATTGTGTTACATTGATAAAACAAAGTGTGAGAGGTTTTCCTTATGTTAAACACTCGAAAGGAACCTTTGATGCCTCTGATCATGTTGTTTATGATTAGACTTGTTCATTTAACTGTTGAAAATGTTGCAGCATTTTTTAAAATGTTGCAATTTTTTCAACAAGCTTTCAGTAAGCCTTGGTACAGAGGTCTTCAAATTATCTGACAGAAAGCAGTAATGGGCCCATTATCATAGACAAATTTATTTCAACTTAAGTTAGCTGTGACTATCTAAATCATATTTTTTTAATAGTTCTCTAATTGATTCATGCATAAGAATATTTAAGGTATTGTTGAAAGCCTAATAGAAAAAAATAAAATTTTACCAGAAGTTCTTTCTTGTTTTATGATCATGTTACATACTGGTAAATATATTTATATATATATTTTTAAAATAGTTTTCTTATCATATTCACACAATAAATTTATCAGTAAATACATTACTACATACCAGGTTTATTTCATACTATTTTACAACCACATGGGATTAACAGGAATTAGATTGTCAGGTAATGAGAAGACCACTTGTCTCAGTTGGCAGTTAAGAAACTAAAGTGAACTTGTTATGCCAGCATTTTCCCACTTAATGAGCCTTTGAAAAAAATTGTATTTGATAATTCTAGTGGTGCCATGATTATAAAATTTAGGGTTTAAGAGGGGAGCGGGTCGGGGGAATGGGAGATTGTATACCAAGGTCATGTGTACCTATTTATTTTGTTTATTCTTAATTTAAACTTTATCCAGCACAGTTTATGAAACCGATAAGCTGTTTTAACATTTAAATTAAACAAAACTAATTAAAATAAAACTTTCAAAGGTTACAATTAATTATCAGTTCCATTAATTTTTCAACATTACGTTTTTTTAAAATTATTTCACCATAACTGACATTCTGTCGAGACCAAAGTTAGAAAAATGCTGTCCTCACCTCTTTGTTTTTTTTATGTCTTAATTTGAAAAATAATTGGCTGCGTATACAAAAAAAGTTATCTCTCCTCTATAATCTTGATGTATGAACAATCACTCTTTATTATGAAAATGACTTAAGTTTAATCATTCGATATGTCATACTTAAATTACGTCCCTTTAATTGATTAATCACAAAATTCTTCTTCACGGCAGCTGAGATCTACCTTTTACAATGGTGGTGTTTTTTAATGCTAAAAATAAGTTTTCCTAACAGTGATATTATTTATTGAAATACATTTTTTTATACTTAAAAGACTTTACTTTGCACTTCAGACTTACTGCTTTGTTTAAGATCTTTGCAGTATTTCTTACACAACATCCCTACTGACTTGAAGTGTATGAACAACATGCCTACTGGCTTGAAGTGTCTGACACAACATGCCTACTGGCTTGAAGTGTCTGACACAGCATGCCTACTGGCTTTAAGTGTCTGACACAACATGCCTACTGGCTTGAAGTGTCTGACACAACATGCCTACTGACTTGAAGTGTCTGACACAAAGCCTGTTTCATTCATCAACATCCATCCAAAGTGCTTCCAATCCATCATCTCTCATCCCTCCCTACCCACTCTTCTGCCATATAGGTATTGAAGTTAACTACTGCTAGGGATATCCTTGCTAGGGATATAACAGTTTCTAGTTTATAAAATAGTGTGAAGGGTGTAGTTTGTTGTGATGGGTGAAGTGTGTTGTGATGGGTGTAGTTTGTTGTGATGGGTGTAGCAGACCTGTTTACCCTCAAACTCTTAAAATCGTACAATATCATCACAAAATCGTTCAATACCTTATATTTATAGTAAAATATAAACATACAGTATACATAATGTATACACCTCAAAATCCTATATTGTACGCCAAAATCGTAAGAATAAACAGGTCTGGTGTAGTTTGTTGTGATGGGTGTAGTTTGTTGTGATGGGTGTAGTTTGTTGTGATGGGTCTGGTTTGTTGTGATGGGTGTAGTTTGTTGTGATGGGTGTAGTTTGTTTTGATGGGTCTGGTTTGTTGTGATGGGTGTAGTTTGTTGTGATGGGTGTAGTTTGTTGTGATGGGTGTAGTATTTTGTGATTGGTCTGGTTTGTTGTGATGGGTGTAGTTTGTTGTGATGGGTGTAGTTTGTTGTGATGGGTGTAGTTTGTTGTGATGGGTGTGGTTTGTTGTGATGGGTGTGGTTTGTTGTGATGGGTCTGGTTTGTTGTGATGGGTCTGGTTTGTTGTGATGGGTGTAGTTTGTTGGGATGGGTGTAGTTTGTTGGGATGGATGTAGTTTATTGTGATGGGTGTAGTTTATTGTGATGGGTGTAGTTTATTGTGATGGGTGTAGTTTGTTGTGATGGGTGTAGTTTGTTGTGATGGGTGTAGTTTGATGTGATGGGTGCAGTTTGCTGTGATGGGTGCAGTTCGTTGTGATGGGTGTAGTTTGTTGTGATGGGTGTAGTTTGTTGGGATGGGTGTAGTTCATTGTGATGGATGTAGTTTGATGTGATGGGTGTATTTTGTTGTGATGGGTGTAGTTTGTTGGGATGGGTGTAGTTCATTGTGATGGATGTAGTGTGTTGTGATGGGTTCTTTCCTGAAATTTATGGTGGGTTATATCCTTGGATCAGATCTGATATAGTTTATCTATTGCATATCTCAGGCTGATCTTTTCACTAATTCTAAAACTGTACACAAATAAAGCCTCAAAAGGATATCACTAACATCATCTGATTCAACAATGAGACATCAAAAATCATTTTTAACTGATAAAGTATGGCATTGAATTGCACATAATTGAGTATACTGGAAGCAAATTCTACAGTTACCCCCGTACACCAAGGATTTAATCCTTATGGATGTCAATTTAGTCAATCGCATGATAATTATTTACTGGGCATTTCTTTTTTACATTCTTATAAAACGTATAATTCTTTTTGGCCTGCAACATTGCCAGTTTGTAGCGCTGAGTTTAACATCTGACTAATATCTCTAAATCACCAGCAACCATGAGAAGGATAGTTTATGGGGTGGTGGCCCAGACAAAGATGTGTGATCTCCATTGTCCAATGTTACAACTTTTTATTAAATACTATCTCCTAAGAGTTTGTTTAAAGTCAATAAATTCTGACCTCTTACCGGTAGAATTTTTTTTAGGGATGTCATGAAGATCTTAAATGGGCCACAGTTCCATTAAAATATCCTATAGAAAAGTGAGTCCCTCAACCTTCAATGGGGCATGCAAAAGAATTTTTGGGTAGTGAACAATAAGAAGAATGTATTTTCAATCTTTAACTTCCTTATTACTGCTTGTCATGCTTAAAGTCTTACCATCAACTTACTCCACACTCCCTCACAACAACTTATTCCAAACTCCCTCACACCAACTTACTCCACATTCTCTCACACCAACTTACTCCACACTCCCTCACACCAACTTACTCCACATTCCCTCACACCAACTTACTCCACATTCCCTCACACCAACTTACTCCACATTCCCTCACACCAACTTACTCCACACTCCCTCACACCAATTTACTCCACACTCCCTCCCACCCATATGCTTCAGTGTTATTTCTTGATCTGCCTCAGCAAGCACGGATAGGTCAGACACACTTGCTGCTGGCTTTACTGCCTCAGCTAGTACGGATAGGTCAGACACACTTGCTGCTGGCTCAACTGCTGTTTGGACTTTACTGTAGGTCCCAGCTTTAACCAAAACTTATATATTTTGTAATTTTTTTTGAGAGTCTGCATGGGCAATCTTTGATTCAAATGCTGAAACTGAACTAAATTTTATCATTAATATATTAAAACATTCACTTCTTTTATCTGCTGTTCATTTACATCTTTGGAAAAAAAATAATTTCCTTCTTTTGGGAACTTCTCAAATCCTACACTGTCAACACTTACCTATTATAAAAAAAGAAGTAGTGTCATCTTCACTTTAAAATAGGCTTGTGTGTCGATGACAGTCATGAAAATGATGTAATTTTTAAGACTTGTGCTGCAAGCTGATTTATTTTGGTTGATTCAATGAATGTCTATTTTTGTGTTTCTACCCTAAAAATATTATGGCTCAAGGAACACGTTACTTTTTACATGCTAAATAACAGTACCGTTATTTGAAATGTGCATTGAAGTTGGTAATCAAAAATGGTTAATCCCACTATGGCTTTTAATCGTATCTGGAAATTTGTTTGAAAGAAATTTCGTGGATGGAAAATTGATAGATGGAAATTTGATCGAACGAAAGTTTGGTCAAATCTTTTTTTCAGTTCACACGATCTAATTTTGTTTTTCTATATAGTATAGTGCATTCAAAATAAAATTTGAAGAAAATTTGGTCGTGTGAACTGAAGAAAACAAAAATTCGACCAAACTTCCGTTCGATAAAATTTCCGTTGACGAAATTTCTTTCAAACAAATTTCCGGTAACCGCTTGTAATAGATACTAACTCAAGAAAGACTGTATTTTTATATCCACCTTAAATTTGACCAGTGATGAACATCAGAAAATATTACTTTACGAGCTTAAACATTGTTAAGTATCTATTAGGTCAACTAACTCTACTTTTATTGGTAATTTTTTAATATATTTATAATAAAGAAACTAACTTGATGTACACCTCCCCCTGCCTTCCCCCCCCCCCCCCCCCCCCCCCCCCAAAAAAAAAAAAAAGCTCTTTATAGACCCCCCCCCCCCCCCCCCCCCCCCCCCCCTCTTCCCGCCACTTTAATTTCTGGCTGAAAATGATGGCTCCAAATAATTTTAACTCTAGTAATCCTTTCTCTAACCGATACCATCATATCACATTTCTCTTGATACTGTTAGATCACATTTCTCTTGATACCATCATATCATCACATTTCTCTTGATGCCATCATATCACAGGATGCAGATGAAAAGAAGTACTGCAAAATGTGTAAGGTGTCCTTTTCTCAAGAGAGCCAGGCAGATATGCATTACCAAGGCAAGAACCACGCTAAACGGATGAAGAGCATTGGAGCTGCAAATGGGTATATTAAAATAATTGTGATAATCTTAACGTTGTCTTACTAAACTGTTCATTTTGAGCATGTATAAAACTTATGTCTTACACTCATCATCAACTTTGCAAATTTTCTTCCATATTTTTTTTTTACCAGCTTTTAAAAGACATTCAGTAGGGGAGCAGATAAAACTTTGGAGTCTGGCAATGTCCTTTGTTTCATTGACCTTTAGATCTTGACCACGTTTTGTTGATTTTTTTCTGTTTCAGCCCAGAAGTATTTGAATGTAAGATTTGCTGTGTGACCGTGACGGCACAGGAGCATCTCACGGCTCACTTAAATGGTGCCCGTCACAAAATACAGGTGCGCAAAATGGACACCAATGAAAACTACAGAGGTAAAGTCACACTATTCATGCTTCATCGATGATATATCAGTTTTAGACATGTAACAAAAATTCACAAAGAGCCTAGGGGATGGCTTACAAAAAATTTAAAATAACAACAAACAAAAAAACCTGAGAATTATTCTAATGAGTGAAGGATATAGAAGATTCGTAGTTTTGATTTATTTCTTATGCTGTTTCTCTTCTCATTTTAATTTTCATCATTTTTGCAAACTTCTTTTGAAAATATAAAATTCTTAATTTTTGCATTTTTAAAACCTGTGTAAAAAAAAAATTAAATTAATAAATAAACTTTGAACATTATGTAAATTCTAAAAACATGATTGGTACAATTTCTGCTCTCTCTCTTTCTTGTTTGAATTAGAACTGTCTTGAGAATGTGAGTTCTGCTCTCTCTCTTGTTTGAATTAGAACTGTCTTGAGAATGTGGGTTCTCTCTCTCTCTCTCTTGTTTGAATAAGAACTGTCTTGAGAATGTGGGTTCTCTCTCTCTCTCTCTTGTTTGAATTAGAACTGTCTTGAGAATGTGGGTTCTCTCTCTCTCTCTCTTGTTTGAATAAGAACTGTCTTGAGAATGTGAGTTCTGCTCTCTCTCTTGTTTGAATTAGAACTGTCTTGAGAATGTGGGTTCTCTCTCTCTCTCTCTTGTTTGAATAAGAACTGTCTTGAGAATGTGAGTTCTTGGAGCCTATTTGTTATAATTGTAACTTTCTATACTAAATTCTTGCCACAGGTGGCATTTATGGTAGGGGGCGAGTCGGTCTGGGATTCAGAGGCCGTGGGTCAAAAGGCGCAGCTTCAGATTCTGATGGAGGAGAGTGGAGATCACTGGTTGATCATTACAGTAGAGGGAGAGGTAGAGGCGGCAAAGGGAGGTCAGTACAATACAATTTTTTTTTTATCTCTCTCAACCAAAATGGGTGATTGATAGGCTAGAAAGTCATAGCTAGCACAATAAGTCATTTGTGTTACAATATGAGTTTTTATTGTGACCGTTCTTCATTGAATCATCATCTGGGTTGTTATGATGTAAGTGTGTCATTATGTAATCCTTTTATTTTAACTCTTAGAGTTTCAACACTAAATAATACTAAATATTATTTTATTCTCAAGCTTTATTGCTTATGTTACTATTTTACTCTACTCGTTATTCCTAAATATTATTTTATTCTTAGGGTTTTATTATTAAATTTATTTGACCCCATGAGTTTCATTATGAAATGCTATTTTATTCCAGAGGTTCATTCCGAGGCAATTTCCGTGGGAAAGGTCGAGCTCAAGGTATTTTTATTTTTTTTAAATATTGTCTCCCTTGAGTTTTTTTAAAGTCAATAAATTATGACCTCTTATGTGTAATGAAAATGTCTAATTTCATGAATTGCTTTTATGTAATAAAAAAATTCAACTTTGACCTCTGCTCTATTACAAGGTACCAAGCGACGAGGAGTCCCTATTGATGAACGCGGAGCACGGCAGGAATTTGGCGGGCCCACATTTAATAAGCGGCCAAGATTTTGAACATTTTAAGCATACTTTCACCGCCACTGTTGAAATCTGATTGTATACGTGTGACTTTTACATTAACATGACGATGGATTTTTTTTCTATATCTTCTTCCCTCGTGGATATTTTTTTTTAAATTATTATTTTTTTTTTTTTGCTTTTTAACAATTTTTAAAGGATGAAGAAATTTATTTTTTTTATTTTTAAAATACGTTGAATACAAATGTCTCAATGAGTGAAACTATCTCAGTATTGTCTTAATCTTATTTGTCTTTGACCTGCTTTCATGCAGGAACTCTCTTACACTAAAGCTTAAGGATTTTTATTTCATATTGCCGTTGATCTACTTTCACTCAGTAACCCTCTTGTCTTAAACTTCACACGTGAACGGTTAAAAGTGTCATTGACCTGCTTTCACTTGAATCCACCTTTTTAATTTCTATTTTTTAAACATTGTTTTTAGATTTGTATAAATTCCCTGGTGTCACAAACAATTGTCTGTGGTACCCAGCTAATTACCCTGGTGACACAAAAAATTGTCTGTGCTACCTAGCTAATTTCATTGGTTTGGTGACACAAAGAATTTTTTGTGCTACCTAGCTAATTTTCCTGGTGACACAAAGAATTGTCTATGCTACCCAGCTAATTTCCCTGGTGACACAAAGAATTGTGCTACCCAGCTAATTTCCCTGGTGACACAAAGAATTGTCTGTGCTACCTAGCTAATTTTCCTGGTGACACAAAGAATTGTCTGTGCTACCTAGATAATTTCCCTGCTGACACAAAGAATTGTCTGTGCTATCTAGCTTATTTCCCTGGTGACACAAAGAATTGTCTGTGCTACCTAGCTAATTTCCTTGGTTTGGTGACACAAAGAATTGTTTATGCTACCCAGCTAATTTCTTTGGTGACACAAAGAATTGTCTGTGCTACCCAGTACCTCCAGGTGATCATATACTACTGTAAATTCTTGTTTGTAGTGTAACTGGAGATGCAGTTTGAATATGTATCTTTGTTAGTGAGAAGGCTGGTTAAAATGTCACTCTTCATTCATTTCTGTCAGTGAGCGAAACAAGTAGATACAATTTTGTTCAGTTTGCACAATTTAGACCTTATTTATTTTAATGTGTAAAATATCTTTTAAACAAATGATAAGCTGAGAGTGTGGCCCATTTTAATGTGTTGTTACAAAATGTTTTTTTTTAGCTTAATAATTTTATTTCACCCTACTTCCACAAGATTGAAGTGTTGAAATACTGACCAAATTCATCTTGAAATCATGAAATCTTGCTAAAGCATTCATTGTTTCACTTAATTTTCAATGACTACATCAAAAACAGTTGGCTAAAATCATAGCTGTTTAACTTGATGATAGCTTTCAGTCTTTGGGTGGTGACAAGAAACAGATTTGAGGATGTTGCTTGAACCTCTTGAAATGCTAGTAACATTGTTTCCATCCTCTCCTCTAACCTGTGATTGGTCACGTCTGCAGTAACATTGTTTCCATCCTCTAACCTGTGATTGGTCACGTCTGCAAGTGAATGAACATCACTTCCTCAAATTCTGCCTTGTTTCGTTTCCACAGGATTTCATGGCTTCATTAATGCTGGATAAGACTTTACTCGACTTTAATGTATCTTTTCTCTAGCATTTCTTCCGAGACGCAGTGACTGAGTTAAATGGAAGGCATGTATGTGGAGAGGAAGCAACGGAAATACTACACTTTCCCAGGCTAATCTCGTCATTATGTTTCCATTGCAGATCGTAATCGCCTGATGAAAGACATCACATAATCTTTTTCTTTTTTTTTGCAGGGGGCCATAGCTTCAAAAATATTGTTGCCTGTTGACTTCTTTTACTTTTTACAAGCTGTTTGGCCTCTGTTAATATATCAAAAGCAAATAGTCTGTACCGTATTTAGTCTCACATACAGAGTTATTTTGTGACATTTAGATGGAGTCTCCACTCTTTCTGCCTGAATATCAGACCAGGGAAATTAGAATGTATTCATATCATTATAATACATTTTAAATAAGTTTAAGGAAATTAAATATTAAGTCACATAGTGGTCCTTCATGTACAATAGTGGTACTTTATGTGCCGTAGTGGTACATCATGTACTGGGTACTATAGACATTTTCTCCTGTAAAATAAATTAAACACTTTTCTAATATAGTAGGGTATAAATAAACAAATTTATCATTCCTATTTGTTAAAATTTCCGATTACCCTCAAATAGGTCCTAAGAAACACAATTAAATCCTTTTATCCTCAGACAGAAATACGATTTTTGGGGACTATGATGATGAAGAATTATTATCATTATTTGGGATTGATCCGGCCAAGAAGTACAAATTTGATTTAGCCAACTACAGGACACCCATTGGCTGGCTATACTGCTCATCGTGTAATATAAGTTTGGTGGATGAACCTCAGTTCCTGCTGCATCTGGGCAGTAAGGAACATCACGATTGCATTCTAGGGCGTAAAAAAGCCAAGAGGTTTGATGATGAGGCTTTAGCTGACATCACTGTGTCTCGGAGCAGCTGACAAAATGTTAGGAGGGGTTCAAAATATCCAGCACAGGGATTGGATTTCCTTTTTTTTTTTATATTCTTTCGTTATTTTAAAAATTTGTTTCATCATAAATTTGATTTAAAAATTAACAGGTTCAGCGCATGCCACTGTTCTGCATCCTTCAGCAGTTGTCTAACTTACTCAACCACAATTCTGCATCTTTCGTCAGTTTAACTTACTCATGCAAATGTTCTTCAAATTTTGGAATAGCTTTTCTGCTTACTCTTGACCAGATCAGATCACCTGTAGTCAAAAATCTTCTGGACCAGGGTTTTCCCAAAACCTTTCAGAGGAAAGGAGCCTCCAGCAACTGAAGCATTAAGTGGTGTGAACCTCATATCTTTGTTCATCGGGAAATCCTTGTAACTGGTCCTGTGTTATAATGTGAAAAACAACCAATTAAAATGTTGTAAATTGTCTCCCACTGAGCCAGTGATCATTAAGATGAGTCTAATTTTTCACTGAAACATTTTTAATTTCCTATTCTACAACCCTCTGTTAAATTTTTTTGTTAAAGTTAACCTTGGGCTGCAGCACCACAGGGACTTGGGCTGTAGCACCACAGGGACTTGGGCTGTAGCACCACAGGGACTTGGGCTGTAGCACCACAGGGACTTGGGCTGTAGCACCACAGGGACTTGGGCTGTAGCACCACAGGGACTTGGGCTGTAGCACCAAAGGGATGGATGGTTTGGATATTGAAGATTTTCTAAATACAGGAGGTTGTCAATGCATGTCAACTTGTATTAAATTTAAGTTATATTTTTCATAATATTAAATCCAGGTAGAATACCATGAAATTTTTGGAAGAGAATAATCAGTGGTCAGATCTGGTCAAGATAGAATTACAATGTGATATTTCCTCTATTGAACTAATATATTGGTTTCCACTTTAACAGGCAATACAACTACAAGTTAACTGTTGGTGACACTTTTGGGTACATTAGTCAACATTTGCTGATTATCCTTGGTAGATTATTGTATATCTAAGTATTTTGTGTCTACTGTTTAGAACACCTTAGTGGCTGTTCTAATTAACTTCATGTAAAATCTAGTATCAAAATAACAGAATTTGATTAAGTTGGAGGAGCTTGTTCGGACCAAACAAGTTTGCAACACAATACAAGATAAAAATAATGAAAGCGGGCATCCATCACACCAAACATATCACTAAGGTCTTATAATACTTGAATAAAATGTTTAAAATTTATCAATAAAAAGGAATACTCTTACTACTTAATTAATATGTAAATCCAGTAATTGATGATAAAAATATTGTAATTGTAGCTTGTTTAATTGGCCTAATTAATCTGAAAAATTCATCACAGGCCTATTCGACTTTTATTTCAACTAACAACAATTTGGCAGTTCTGGTTAATATTCTTCTGAAGTTAATGTTCAAGGTTAATTTGCTATATTTAAATACTAAACATTGCATTTGAATTCATAACAGAATGCTTTTGTGCGTTTAAAAACAAATCTTAATTGCCTTGACCTGCAGTTCATCATCTGATAATTCATTATAAATTTAGAGGAGTTGATATTCTCCTTATTGGCCTTAAGTGACCATTGCCCCAAGTCAATGAGAACAGATATTTTAAAAATATTTTAACTTTCAAAAAAAATTTTTTTATATTATTTAAGTACCGGTAATTCTGCTAAAGCTTTACTTTCAACATGATCCTTGAATTTATTCATGAACATTTAACTTCTAAATACCATTTCCATCAATGCTGTGACCCTAGCCACTGTCAAAATATTTGTTAAAATAAATCTCTATTTGTTAACCAGCACTCAAATATCATTATTGTTGCTGATTTTCCCCCATGTTATTAATTATCCCTTTGCTGCCAGGTTATAGTTTTTATATAACTGAGGAGAAGCACTTGGACAAAGATAGTAAAATAAAAATATTACTTTTGGAAATTTACCGCACTGTGTTCTTTTATTGTTGTTAGGTCATGATTAAAATATTCTCAAAGAATTAATATGAACGTTCCAATCTTGACAAACTGGTTTTAGAAAGAGGTATCAATAGAAAATGTTTGATGGACACATAGGTGTAACAGTTTTCAAATAAGGGATAGAAAATTAAATTAATTTTTTTTAAAGTGTTTTACTGTTCAAAAATTTATTGGTAGTAGTAGTAGTAGTATATAAATATACTTAAAAACTTGCAGTTTTTAGCCATGGCACACATTTTTCTCATACCACTTCATTGGGGAATCACTGAGCAAGAGTTGCTGGCAGTCTTGTTTTCAAACCTTGGATTTAATTTTTTTAACTTTTCATCTTTACATAAACAGTGATACATTAGCCTTCCCATATGTCAAGGTGACAGTGTTAACATTATCTTGCTACAGCAAAGTGATATCACTTGGAAGTCTTGGTAGATGACTTTTAAAAAGTTACAAAGCCTTCATCTGTATTATTAATTAAACAACCCCTAAAAACAAATTTCGTATAAACATCCTTTATAAAATATATCGTTCAATGGGGCTGAAATTTTTGCAAAGCTTGCATACAAGTAACACACTTTATAAAATTCCCAATTAGTGCGCCCCCCCCCCCGGCTTGAAACCTTTCAAGCTCCTGAACTATGTTAATGTTCTATTAAAATATATCGTTCAATGGGGCTGAAATTTTTGCAAAGCTTGCATACAAGTAACACCCTTTATAAAATTCCCAAATAGTGCCCCCCCCCCCCCCCCGGCTTGAAACCTTTCAAGCTCCTGAACTATGTTAATGTTCTATTGACCCAGATCACTTTTATGCCGCAGATTTCTTTTACCAATTTCAGAAAAACAAAAGAAAATGTTACGCACTTGAGATTTTTTTTAAAAAGAATCTCATTTAGCATAGTTATTGGGAATTTCAATTTGTGAAATCGGAGTCATATTTCCTTCATCTTCCCCTTGATAAACAGGAAAATATGCAATTGGGGGTTGGGACTGAACATTTGACAGAATGTTGTCATTGGCACCAAGTCAATGTGCCAAGTTTTAGGTTGACGGGAAGTGGGTCAATAATCCATTTGAAGCTTTTGCCAGCCACAAACAAAAGCAAAGTTAGTATAAAGAATTAAAAAATATATAGACTGGGCTGACTACTTCATTTTAAACCCCTTAATTAAACTTAAAATTTTTAAAATAAAATGCACAAACAAAACTAGTAAAGTAACTTTCAGTAATATATTGAAAACAAAACACCTTGAAACTGAAAGAGCATTATAAATTTATTCACATATTTGATATTACATTGTAATAATACAAATATTTCTTTTAAAAATAATTACAAACACAATTCAGACACCAACAAAAAAATGCATGAAAGTATTGAAAGTATGAATATGTTAATGAATGAATGGGCATTTTCTATTGATAATCAAATATCCAACAAAAGCAATGTTTAGCAGTATTACAAGAGTGAAGGAGCCGATGCAATAACAAGCTCAATATTTACATCAATCAATAACAGTTTTTGTGGGCAGTCTCAAAAATGATACAAAAAAAATCAGAATTTAATGTTCACACATTCATACTTCAACAAGAAGTGCATAATATCCTTAGGAAAAAACAAACTTATTCAACAAAAGCAAGAGAGAATGCTATGCAGTTGATTGATACAATCTTTGGCTGATGCAACGATATCAGCTAGGATTACTCTTACGTATTTTTTTAATTACCAGTACTTTAAATAAAGAAACCTTTAATTTTTAATGATAAAATCTTTAAGATAAAAAAAAAAAATGTGCCTATTTTTATCTGCATACATGTTGGTTAAGGAATTTTATTTTGAAATTGAAAAAGTTTGCATAAACTGTTGAACTTATTAATTTATCAGAGTAGCACATGTTGCAAAGCTTGAAGTTGTCAGCACCCATCTATTCATTAATCATCTCATACCCATCTATTCATTAGTCATCTCTTACCCATCTATTCATTAGTCATCTCTTACCCATCTATTCATTAGTCATCTCATACCCATCTATTCATTAATCATCTCATACCCATCTATTCATTAGTCATCTCTTACCCATCTATTCATTAGTCATCTCTTACCCATCTATTCATTAGTCATCTCTTACCCATCTCTTTATTAGTCATCTCTTACCCATCTATTCATTAGTCATCTCTTACCCATCTATTCATTAGTCATCTCTTACCCATCTCTTCATTAGTCATCTCTTACCCAACTATTCATTAGTCATCTCTTACCCAACTATTTATCAGGCAACTCAAACCCAATTATTCGGTGAACATCTCGTACCCAACTATTTATTAGTCATCTCTTACCCAACTATTAATTAGTTTTTGTAGTGTTGCGTTTGTTTTAAATGTGGTAAATTATAGATTTGTTTTTTGTTGACTTTGTACAGCGCCTCGAGCCTTTGGGGATGAAGCGTGTTTTTGAAATGAACTTTATTATTATTATTATCTCTTACCCAACTATTTATCAGGCAACTCAAACCCAATTATTTGGTGTGCATCTCTTACCCAACTATTCATTTGTCATCTCTTACCCGTCTATTCATTAGTCATCTTTTACCCATCTATTCATTAGTCATCTCTTACTCAACTATTCATCAGGCAACTCAAACCCAATTATTCGGTGTGCATCTCGTACCCAACTATTCATTAGTCATCTTTTATCCAACTATTCATTATGCATTCTCTTATCTCTAATACAAAAATTAAACCTAGCCCCTGTGTTCCAGTTACACACCTTTAAGTTTCTGCCACCTGGTTGATTCAGTTAATGATAATATTTTCATAATAATTTGTATAGATGTAAATGAGAAGTTGGTCAATAATTTAAACCAGTTTTCTCACATTTCTGTTTAAAGTGCATGATCTCAAACAGAATGCACAAATTAAAATCTCTAATACAATTTATGAACAGTTTTTTTTTTTAACTTCAGTTTTACAATTTATTTAAGCTGTAATTAAAATCTCTCAGGATTTATGTGTAATTTTTTAAAAACTTTCATTTTGCAATTTATTACCTGTAATCAAAGAGCTTTCAGGAAGTGCCCCATGTTTGTTACAGCACCGGTTAAATGCACTGTCTCTAATACTGTCACTGACAAAAAACTTTGGTACCATATATGATATTAACCTGGCAAATCTGTTTTAACTCATTGATTCAATCAGTTTCAGAAAAATATAGTAAAAAAACCATGCATACTTACATAACACAAATACATACATATAGAGAATCTTTATACTGGCTAACAATTTGTAAGATTTATAGGAAATGTCAAGATTTCAAGATGTTTACTCAAACTGACTACCCCTTGTTTCACTTTGAACAGATATAACTAATTAAATAGGAAATGACTGCCCCTAGTTTCACTTTGGGTAGATTTAAATAATTCAGTAGGAAATTCCCCCATCAGAAAATCAAATGGAAAGGATTAGCTTTGAAATTTTTTTCAGAAAATTCTTTTGATTGATCTCCATTGATTACAAGATGTGGATGCATCACATACAAAGAGACATTCTGGCATTGTATCATATATAAAGAGACTTTCTGGCATGGAAGTCTACAAAAATTTAAATGCTTTCTGAAAAATCCTGATATCAGAAATAAAAGATTTATGATAGTTACTGTTGTTAAGTACAAATATCGGCGCAATCTTTGTCCTGCAGATATTTGAAACTTAGGTGTCCCAATTAACGATAGTCAAAGAATAACACTTGGAAACCCCTGAACAGACCAAAAACGCGATGGAGACGTTTGGAAATTCAAAATATCAAAACCATTCTAATCTTCCTAAAAATGAGTTAATATCCTCCTCTGTGACTGCCCCGGTCCATTCCCCTCCATCCTCGAACTCCCCTAAACCCACCAGGCCCTCCCCTGTTATTTCTAAAATTAGCCCTGCCCCTACCCCGCATATCTCCTCTTCCCCAAGGTCCACCCCTTGGTGGTCCCCCACGACCTCTCGGCCCCACACCAGGCCCTTCTTCCCATACTCGTTTCCTGCCCCTGTTGTCACCTCTGTTTTCCTGCTCAACACTGTACGCCTCCCCGTAGCCCTCATAGTCTTCTTCGTAGCCACCATCTCCCCCATCCCATGACTCCTCTGCATAACCTGCATCCTCGTACTCATCCCAGCCTCCATTATCATTAGCCATGTGCCCACCCCTGCCTCTGGGCCCCATGTTCCTGTGATCGTAGTCCCCACCGTCAATCTCTCGTTCATCCCGGTCCCCGTACTCATCAACTCCGCCCTGATAATTGTCATTTCCTTTCACCCTGGGGTCCATACCACGAACTCGGGGGTCACCCATACTGCCTTGTCGTGGATCCCTGGACACTCCTTGTCCAGCCTGTCTGTAGTCTTCATCTTCAGTATTCAGCGGTCCGCCTGGTCCATTGTACACGCGTGGACGGTAATCCTGGTCCATGTCAAGGTTTGATGGTCCCCCCATTTGATTTGGTGCTGAAATTAAAGAAGTTAGAGTAAATTAAAACTATGTGAAAATAAAGCACACATAAACCACGACATATGGTTAGGCCTGCACCAACACAAGCAAAACAGCAAACATGAAAAATGGTAAGTTTGGTTTTGGAATGAAGGGCATGAAAGGATTTGTAAGTTATATTTTATTCCAGAACATGACTTTGTGGTGTGTGGTTTCTGGTCAGAGTGGACAAAATCCCAAGTTGCTGACAGGAGCTTTTAGTTGTAGCATTCAAAAATTAAATTCAGTTATGGATCAAATCTTTCGGTGGCTAGTGATATTTAAAGTGTTCAGGATAACAAAATAAGGCTTATAAAGCATTTACCTGGTCCACCAGGTCCTTGATATCTTTCATCTCTGTCCATGTCTTGTGGACCACCTGAAAGGTAAAGATATGGTCAAACAAATGGTTTTGAGATTTCCTGAAAAATAAAGTTCAGAAACCAAAGGCACTTTTTAATAGCGATTAAAACCTAACCAAAAAAAAAATGGTAGTCTTTGTTTTAAGTGTCTATTCTACTGCCATTTGTCAGTGGTCCCATTATAAGTTAATGTTTGTTCCTAATTTATGAATACTAAGTGATAAAAGTTTTCCTAATTTCAGCCTTTTCCATTTCAAACATCTTTTTGTATACAGTTGTTCCTGGTTATTTCAAATATATAATTTTCACATTTTCAAAATCAATTGAAAGCTGTTCAATTCAATATTTAACAAAACAATATAAAGGGAAAGGCTATTGGTTGTTTCAAAAGTAACCTTTGGTAATTGTAAGAGTTATCTCTGACTGAGGAGTACAATGTTACAACTAACAGCATTATAGATGTCATCACCTTGCTCACTATGATTCCCATTCAGGCCAAGAGAAGAAAATTTTGACCCACAACCAGAATAAAAGGAAGCTTGGAGTTCATCTAAGTTTTAAGAAATAATTACAGCAACCATGAACTTTTTTTTGATGGCTTGTCAGCCTCCATGATTGTAAACAGAGAAAGTTTCAAGGTCCAGGAGCATTATCAAGTACCCCAAGTATTACACGCACAGTAACACAAAAATGTCAATTCCAAATCTGATTGTGAGAATAAGTGATACTCAGCATATAAACAAATGAGATGTTGGGCCACCCAAAATTAGACATAAATGAACTTGAAGGAGTGTTGAAAATAGAATGTTAATTTTAGCAACCAAGTAATCTAAGTTCATGTCTGTGACTGTGACTAAATTAGACACTTTGCTTGGATTCATGTTGAGATTAAAGGGATTGCTATGACCTGAGCAATAGGACTTGTTTAAGCTACAGATCATCAATGATTGAAGTGATAAAGTTTAGACTTACTTCTGTTGGGTTGTTGATTGGGGTTTGGTCCAAACTGTCCCTGTTGCCCAGGAAATGCTGGAACTGGGGGTCGAGGACCCATTTGTTGGGGTGGATGGTTTGATGGTGGGCCCTGGGGGTTCTGTTGTCGTATTTGACCCTGACCAGGTGCTTGGCCTTGTGGACCCTGCGTACCTTGAGGCCTCATCTGATTTTGCATTGGACCCATCTGCCCCTGAGTGGGTCTCACCTGTCCTTGATTGACATTCCCTTGACCCTGATTTTGATTTAACCCCATCTGGGCATTGTTGCCTGATTGCTGATTATTTCCCATGTTGTTCTGTGGCCTCAAAGCAGTGTTGGCCAGTATGGCCATAGCATTGGCCATAATTTGCTGACCTGCCGCTGTTGGGTTATCAAGTGCCATGTTTTGCTGCATGTTGCCTGGTCCCATGGCCCTGTTACCTGACCCAGGCCCACCAGGTATAAGTACCATTTGTCCACCTCGAGGTCCCATGACTGGCTGACCGGGAGCAATTATCATCCTGGGGGCTCCAGGGCCCAACATTAAAGAGCCCCCGGGGAGAAGCATCCTTCCACCTTCACTGTTTGCCAGCTGCTGCCGCAAGGTGCCGGCGATGGCTGCACCCAAAACCTGCTGCGCCAACAGCAAGCTGGACGGTGACGGCGCCATGAACTGGGCCTTCAGCTGCTGCTGCTGCTGCTCTTTCTTCAGCTGGTCCACATCGATCTCCCCAGACCAGGCCTGCTCAAACATTTTTGGCACAGGTCTTGCGTACGGCACTTTTTTGAGGGCAGCTTTTTCCTCCGCCCGCAACAACGCTGCATCTTCTTCCCAATCCAGACCAGGTATTGACGGCAGCTCACTTTCAACTGGTTTCTCTTCTTCTGATAACAAAAAAATGTGTTTAATTTATTCAAACGATGCAGCTGGGTCATGAATTAAGCGAGATGGAATCATGCAAAAAACTGAAGCTCAATCCTAGTAAAGTGAAAAAAAATTAAACTAACTCAGCTAGCCATATGAAAGAACTTAAGGCCTATCCTTTACCCCACCCTTCTATCCCACCAAGTTCCCAGCCATGTGTAGCTAACGGAGAAGGCAGACAGCTGTATGAAGAATAGTTATGACTAATTTTCTGAATAATTTTGTTGACATTTCTAGGATATGCCAACCAATCTTACCAAAATAAAGAAATGGGGAACAACTCTGTAAGTAGCATCTTGCAAAACAATATAAAATCAAAATCTATTGGTAACACTAAGTAACACAATAATGCTTATTGGAGCTGCTGCACAAATTCCAGAATTAAATCAAATATTATAGAATACATTGAATGGTTTTTAGACTTTGGAGAAATATAGATTTGGAGCTTAGTGCCAGAGGAGATTTAGAATATATTTTTTTTTTAATAATTAAAATAAGAGATACAACACAGCCAAATTAAAGTGACAATGACCACAGTGAACCAATTATTTAAAGTTAAGCCTAAGCCACGACCTTGACATTGTGCTTACTTGTAAGGTCTAATCATATCAAAACCCATCTAAATTGAAGTACCTTTAATTTGCAAATGTTCTGGTAAGCCGTGCTCCAGACCCATCCCAGGCAGATTAGGCATCATGGACTCTTGATCTGAGGAGACAGTTATAGAATCATGATCTTCTTACTGTCTCATGTCAACAGTTAACAGGATATAGCTTAAGACATTATTATCATTTTGTTAATTACAAATTTGACTAATGTTAACAAATTAACAAAATTAATTTATAAAAATATGACAAGAAATAGAAACTAGTGCACAAAAACGTAAGTGATCCTTTAACTAATACTAATAGTGCATGCTGAGATTATAATTAATATGCAAGCCATAAGGATGTTATATGAAGTTACTTAAAATATACTTGAATATCCCAGTGGCTCATGGCCTGTTACAGGATAAGTGTAACAGTGATACATTTTAGTTCACTCACAGAGTGCATAGTTTAGTGGTTCTGAACATAATGTAGAATGAAGCATAACTTTTATCATAATAACCTTGATATTCTCTGGTATACCCATTATGTTTTGAATCTCATATCTAAGTCATGTATAGCTGACTGGCATCTACCAGAGTTTTTTTATTTACAGAGTCTAGGCTGGTAAAGACTACCATGCACCACTCAGCCTTGTTACTTACTGTATTCAAGTAGCTCTTGTTCCATCATGCCCATAGGCAATGTGTTCAGGTTGTATTTGTCCCTCATTTCATCACCAGGACGATTCCTTGTCCAGAATTTCCTGGATAAATTTTTTTTAAAAATTTGAATAACATCATAATATTTTACACGCATAACAATCTAGTTACACAGCATCATGCATAACTTAATTTTAAAATTATCACCTTTGTAAGTAACAGGGATATCAGGCAAAAATCCTAATTACAAGAATGCTTGAGTGCTTTGTCACAGAAAATTATATTTCAGAGTAAAAAATTACCCACCTATAGAAGTGAGAGGGTTTTGTCCCATTTTTAACAGTCGACATGTCCGTAGAAATAGTAGAAATACATTGAAACTAATAACTTGCATAATACATATTTATTTTTAAATATATTTTAGTGTAGATACTTTCCTATGTAGATTTCACAACTGATAAGATAAAAATATTAACAGGTATTATAGCTCCCTGCACTCACGTTGCGTGATCATTAGATCCTGATGCCAGAATATGGCCGAGCGGGTGCCACGCCACGCTCCACACCATTCCCTCGTGAGCCTCCTCCATCCCTCCCACTTCATGGTCACAGCCAACCATCCAAAACATCAGGGCTCCGTCTGCACTGCCACTAACAAACAGCCCTTCGTGAATAGGGTGCCAGCCGATAGCTGAAATTTAAGTAAAACAATGTCTGTGAATGTAATTTAATTACAAAATGTGCTAAGTTACATTTAAACCGCTGAGACAGAAAATAGAAAACTCCGAGCTAAAATAATGGGGAGAAAATTCATTGCGAAAATTCATTAAAAAATCATTGAAAGAAAAATTTTTGCATCGAAAAATCTATTGAAGAAAACTTTTTTTAAAAAAATCCATTGAAAAAATACACTAAAAAATTATTTTTAATAAACTAGCCTTAGACAAAAAAATTTGAAATTTATTTTTTAAAAATTGAAATTCATGGAGTATTTACAATAATATAAGACTTCAGTGACTCACAAAAGAAAAATCTGAGGTAAATACAAGGTAGGCAAATGTACAGCTGACAGATAGTTTTCAATAATAATCTGAATCTTAAAGCATCTGCACAGGTTTAGCCCAATCACTTTTCATAAAATTGATCATTAAATTTTTTAAACTAACATTTTTTTAGTGCCAGATTCATTTTCTATCATGTATTTTGCTGTAAGTATACAAAATGAATTTTTTTACCCACATTGTTGTAGTTCTGCATGTTTCATGGGCTTATGTGAATGATTATTTTAAACTGTTGTGATTTAAAAGAACGATACTTTATAAAAATGCTTTGAGTAAATGATTTGGTGGTATGGACTTGTCCCCCCCCCCACCCAGCAAATCAGCTATTTCTGGGAGGGGTAAAGTCTCCAGAAAAGAAACAAAAACAAACTCAACTGCCAGACACAGAAGAAAGCGGCCAACCTGGGAAAAGAACGATACTTTATAAAAATGCTTTGAGTAAATGATTTGGTGGTATGGGCTTGTCCCCCCCCCCCCCCACCCAGCAAATCAGCTATTTCTGGGAGGGGTAAAGTCTCCAGAAAAGAAACAAAAACAAACTCAACTGCCAGACACAGAAGAAAGCGGCCAACCTGGGAAGGGATGAAAATCAGCTGTCACAGCAAAAAAACATCATTTTGGCACGCTATAGTTCCACATACAAATGTGCACAGAGCAGTTGGAAACCTTTACCTGTTGCTTCTCTCTTGTGTCCCTTGAATGTCTGCAGCTCCTCCTTCAGATTTCTGATGTCAAACAACTTAAGCAGGTGATCCCTGGAGGCTGTCAACATCCAGTTGCCATTCTGATGCCACTTGAGATCCATCACAGTGTGCTTGTGGGCATGTCTAGGGGGAAAGAAAGGAGAGTTTGAGAAAAAAATGTTGAAAATATGTCTGAAAACATCATACACCAGATACTTGACTATATAACCAAAAGTAAATTTTGTTTAAAACTCTCAAGTTTACAGTGGCCTAGCACTTAAGTTTAAAAAACCCATCCTACTCTTATTTTTAAATAAATTGTACTTGGCTCGTTATGAAAGGAATGAAAGTTATTTCTTTAAAAGCTACAAAAAATACAGAAAATCCAGTTAATGAATGTAAATAATTCAAGTGTCAATTAAATCGATATAAATTCTGAAAACAAAATCAACCGAGAAAATTAGTCAAAATCAACGTACAGCGTGGCTAAGCTGTTACCAGACCGGGGGTCCCAGAGCTTAACAGGTTGCTGATTGTCTTTACTGCCTGAGGCTATAAGTGCCTTCTGGGGATGCCAATCTACACACCTGACATCTGCTCCGTGACCTGGGAGATGATGGAATAATATAAAGTTTTATAAAACGGCACAGTATATGCTGTCGTATTGCATTTAACTTAAGTCAGCTTAGGCCGCTTAAGCAGTGTCAAATCTTGAAAATAAAATATCTCAGATCTCATGTATCCACAACCAGATTATCATCTTTTTGGGCAAACCTTTTTTCTGGAGCTCACTTACTAGTTCAAAATAATAGTCAGTTGTTATAGAAATATAAAATTGTGACATTTGTTGTAAGGACTCTAGGCTGCAGACTAATGTTTCAGCATTACACAGTCAATTAACAAAGCAGTACCGGTACATCATATGGACACCTTGTAAAATACCTCACAAAACTATACTTACTGTACACAGCTCAAAATAATGTCAGTTGTTATAGACATATAAAATTATCAAATTCATGAGGGAGCTTCCAAAGCTCAGGGACCCTACGCTGCAGACTTATGTTTGAGCCAGCAATGTAGATAGGTCAGAATTAATCAGCCTTTCACTTTCACCGTAAATTAACATAGTAATACAACATATGGACACATAAAATATCTCAGAAAACTGTACTTACCATACACAGGAGCTAAACCTTTCACATTACTATTACTACTGTACACTAAGGTCAAATACCTATGGGCCAATGTTTGCACTCAATTGCCAAGCCATCCTTTTCATTGTGTTGTGATATGATTCCTAAACATCTGTGTACTTACATGTTCTTTTAAGCATTACTTCCTGTTCGTTTTTATTATTGTTTAATGTCAATGACAGTTACTTAGGATTTTCAACATTTAAATAAACAAAGTTTACATGTAGATTAATAAAACTTTGAATGAAAATGGGGTATATGCTATGATCTGACCAGAAATGGAACTCAAAATCTTTCTAGGGTGTGAGGTCTATCACACAAAATCTTTCTAGTGTATGAGGTCTAGCACACAAAATCTTTCTAGTGTGTGAGGTCTATCACACAAAATCTTTTTAGTGTGTGAGGTCTATGCTATGTTTTCTGGAAACACAGTTGCCTTTTACTTAGTTAATTTCACACAAACCAAATTGCACTAAGTCTTATGAGGATACACACAGACCAAATACCACCAAGTCTTATGAGGATACACACAAACTAAATAGCACCACCAAGTCTTATGAGGATACACACAAACTAAATACCACTACCAAGTCTTATGAGGATACACACAAACTAAATAGCACCACCAAGTTGTATCAAGATACACACAAACCAAATACCACCAAGTCTTATGAGGAGAAGTTTTTGTTTATTGTTTCTCAAATTTAATTTGATTTGTATCTGTGCATGCCATTGCCATATTGTTAACCACTGTTATTGTGATGAAAGGTTGTATTTCTTGTTGTGGGAAAGTGCAGAGACATGATTAGCGGAACATAAGAAACATACTTTGCACATCAAAACAAAAATATTGCAAGGATATCTCTTTCAATGAAACTCAGGACACAAGTGAGATGCTCTGTGAGAAGAAGGTCTTGAGAAGAAAAAAACTTTAAAAATAAAACCAGAAGAAAAAGTGTATGAATTGGATGACCTGTACTACAACTACAATCAAATATGCTACAAAATTTTGATCTTGTTAATGAGAAAAAAAAACTAAGTATGTGAGAATAGTCTAGCATAAGTTCAGGTTACTTGAGAAGATTTACAAAACCTCTTGGATTTTATACTCGCATAGATAGAAGGATTTAGCATGATCTCTTAATTTAGAAGAGCGGAAAATAAAATTACATAAAGGGCTTAAGAATTCAACAAACTTGGCTACAAAAATATCTAAATAACTTTAAATAAACTGTTAAGTTATAAAACTGCACAGAATTATGGTTTAAAATTGGAAAATATTGACTTTGAGAGGTGAAAAGGGTAGGAATTATATTTTTATTCATCGGATGTTTGAAACATTCAGTAAGGAAAACTAGGGCAGAAATGAAACAAGATCAGATGATAAAATATAGACAACCAGTTAATGCAAAAACGTCTGTTATTGATTCCTTCAATGAAAATAAGGTGTTTTCATATACCGGCACTTTGGTGAATTAGTCATTTTGAAAGCGCTGTCATATACAAGAAAACAATGATCTTATAGACAATGGCGGTCCAACATAGACCCTGGTATGTTCAAGGCTCTGGTAAAACCTTGTTTTCGTAACAGCTGGATTTGACAACTTATTGCCCTTCATTTAAATTGTAGTTTGATTTTTAACAAGAAAAGAAGCAGTGGTTCACATGGGTTAGAACAACCTGCTACTTTTATAGCGGTGGCTACTTTGTTATGCAATTATGTATATAGTCCGTCAAGTCAAAATGGACTATGACCACCTTAATCATCATATATGCTAAATATGAACTTGGCTGTGGGTGCACTGATGGGTGATGAGACCGATTATGTGTATAACCAGGATAACAGAAGTCTAGCTTATATCAACAGATTCCAAGTTGATTTTTGGATTGGCTTATTTCTGAAGATCTGAAATAAAATATTTTCTTGACTCCTAACAGTGATGTGCTTTTTCTTTGAAAGGACACAATGTTGGTCTGGCAACAGAAATTTTTGTTTTTTTGATTGCCCATCACTGTTTCACGTCAGCTGTATATTCTTTCTCCAGGATAATGAAAACAAGAAACAAAATATGAACTCAGCTAATCACGAACCACGTTAGAAATTCCCAGATCAGCTCTAAAAAAACTGATAAGGAATCAAGGTGAAATGGTCAAGAAATCATACCTCGGAGAATTCTCTCTTCATGACATCTCATAAAATCCCATATCCGAACAGTTCCATCGTCTGAGCAAGAAGCGAATTTTGTGTCCGAGGGACAAAAACTGGACGGGAAGAAACAGATAACAAACACTATTTTATCTGCTTCTGAAAAAATAATTTATTGATCATCATACATCAAACAATTTATAAAATAAATAACAAACATACTTATGAGATTTATGAGTCACCCTTTTTAAAGCATTGAGAACACATTGGTACAGGTGGGGCACATTAAACGAACCAACATAGAAACTTATTTATGAAACCACCCCTACACTTGAGCCCCCAAAATAAAACATTGTTAACGGAAAAGCCTGATCATTGCATACTGAATGATATTACATTTAAAATCATGGTTGAGTTATAGGAATACTATATGTGATTTAGAAATTAAACCCAAGTGTCTTCATCTAAATTTCACACTTAACGGATACCCTTATCCCCTCCCCCAGTGAAATGGAACTGAATCTTGGAAGTATTTAGGGAATAAAACAGTCAACAAAAACATTGGAAAAGACATTAAGTATTTTGGTTAATTGATTAATAATTTTGGAATATTCCTAAATTTTATTGGTTAAAGAATATTTTATTTATTAATTTAAATGATGTGCAATTTCCTCTTAAAAATGTATTAGTATTATAAACATGAAGCAAATAATATTTATTGATATCACCCAGTTACTAAAATGAAATGTGAAATAAAATTTGTTTTGATTTGGCACTGCGAAAAAAGCACGGACAAGACACAAACACGCTAAAAATAGACCTTTAGACTGCCTCCGCCTTTATGGCTTTGACAGTCCAAATTTATTCTTCTACAATTACTATCATCATTAAATAAGTTAATGAGTTTTTAAACTTGGTTTAAGTGAAGTTTAGGAGACATTGGCCTTTATGGCTTCAGCCTCTTTAAGATTTATTGAATAAAACAATTTTAGAAAAAAACATGAAAAATATTTTTTTCTTACAAAAATGACGGGAAAAATTATAGTTTTTAGGGCTCCGGTCACACTGCCAAAGTCCATTGGCAAAAGAGGAAAGCAACTACCATTACACATAAGACATTTTTAAAGTTTTAAGTATAAAAGAAGAAACAGTTGAATTAACATAAGGGATGATATAATTTCTTCTTAAATTCTTGTAGTTCACTATATATCACACATAGCTTGTATATCACAGAAAGCAGCACATCTTTAAATTTAAAATACTTAAATTTTTTGAGTCATTGAAAGCAAAGTATTGACTAAAGGATCAACTACATGTAAAACTGGAATGCAGCAAACATATTTGCCAGGTATCTTCATATCATAATGATATGCATTCCCTGCTGTCCCCTGCCCACCTGATGCCTCGAATGGGCTCCTTATGTGCCTGGTACATCTTCACGTTATTCATGTTGGATTGCCAGTATTTGATGTAGCCGGCATGGTCTGCTGTCACCATCCATGCATCACTGTGGCTCCATCTCATAGCCCTGACTGCTGTTTCATGTGCCTGTCCAATGGTATAAAACATTAAGTTCAATCGTTTGCTTTACGATGAAACGTATACTAATGCCAGATAATATCACAGCGTCAGCATTGGATTATATCAACACAAACAAGTAATGAAAATAGCTTAATGGATGCACAGTAACTTGTAACAATTTAACACTTTAAATCAACCATTTTTAATCTTTACATTCATACGATGCTTATCGTATTCTATTTAACAGAGCAACAAGAGTTTTCATGAATACGCGCATGCATTCTAACATATTAACTTCCTTGTTGACCAGGTAAACCACAACTTTTCAATGAAAATAGTTTATCTAAACTCAAATTTTCATCAAATTTTGAGGGTTTTTTATAGAAATTTTGTAAAAAATGGACTCAAATTTTAGGCACTAGTTGTAATAATACAGATTCTTGTATTTAATAACATTTAAATTAATGAAGCTAAATAAATACTGTCCGTCTTGAAAATGTTATTGAGCTTTTATTGTCTTATGTTTCACTGTAACCGTGGGAAAAGACGTGGATAGAGGATTATTTTTACTCCATGTGCTGTTTATGGATATAAAGTGTTAATTTTTCGATTTTTAATCAAACTGAGTTTCTGATGACAAATAAAAGACTTTTCCTAAGGTAACAGGTAATTGATTCTAAGACATAAAACCATCTTAGAATGAATCATTTGGCTCAAAAAGAATTTGACTCACTTTTCCATTGTTGTGTCTATGGGATACGTTCACGAATGAAAAAATATTTATTTACGGAAATAAAAGAGCATAATGGGTTGGTGAATATCATTTCCACTTTCATATCATTTGTGGTTGTCATGGTTTAGCTAAGTAAACATGGATCGGATAACGTCCCCGTGATTTGAGAAGAAAAAATTATTTAGAGTAAAAGTATAAATTTTATTTTCAAAACTCTATCATTGGGTCTGTTTTAGTTAACCCTACTTAACTTACTGGAATCAAGTTTAGAAACAACAAATATAATTTTGGAATCAATCCAAATTGGTAAAAGTAGGCGGCAACCACAGGCACACTACTCTGTTTTACAAAAATTTGAAAGTAGCCCATAGTGACTATGGAAAACAAAAATAGAACTACAAATGAATTTCCTTCTTTTTTCAAAATCTTATAAGCAGCTGAGTGTGTACCTGTAAGATGGTTTCAAAGTTAAATGTAAGGCCATTCCACAGTGTGAACTCTCCACTGGAAGCTCCGGTCACCAATCTCCTTCCTTCAGGTGTCCACTGTAAGATGGAGAGATCAGAATTTTTAATATGTTGACATATGAGCTAACATAAAACAAAAATTTGAAGATATTACACACCTCAGAGATAACTACAAAACAATCTTAAGTTCCCTTAACAATATTTGGGTAAAAATCCACTCAAATATGAAAGAAGCGCACAGTGGATATTTTAGTTATTGTAGGACATTGCAAGGACAAGAGTTACCAAGCAATGAATTACTTTAGTGAACAACTTTAACAATGCTCAACAATTTAAAACAACTAAAACCAAATGAAATCAAATGACCCGGAACTAAAGTGTTCTTTTCAAACAATGGATCACACATGAACAAACTAAACGCATAATGTTTTAATCACTATGCATGATATCTTCCTTCAAAATTTCTCAGGACAGTTTTCAAAAAATAAATTTAAGAATGACTTACCGTGAGACAAAAAATGGGGCATCTGAACTTGTTGGTAGACGTTCGTACAAACCTTGTTGTCACACAATTCATGGGGTGCTCTAATAGAGCTGGAGGAGGAACTAACTGAAAAGTTTTTTAAAAATCCAAATTATTCACCGCTGTTCATTGAAGAGCTTCAATTTGCTTGGATTTAACTTACAGGTACCGTAAATGGAATATTTACTTAGGACAAATCTCAAAGAACTAAAAAATTAAAATAAACAATTAAATCTGTAGAGAATGTACATTGCACATTTTAAACTGAACAGAATTGAAATGTTACATAAACAGAACTAAAATAATTTTGACTAGATTTTCACGTTGAGGTTTTCAGACTTGGAGATGCCAAAAAAGAGAATATAGAAGAAATAAAGCCAGTTATAAGTGCAAAACTCTTGAAATTATGAAGCTTGGCAAGCATCAACACTAAATAGCCTGGAATATTTCCTATTAAATGAGGATGTCAATGTTATTCTTGAACTAATTGCAACAGAAATCTTCTCCAGACAATTCTGTTGTAGCTGTAGGCTGGGTTCATTTAGAACTTGTGATATTAAATGAAAAGTTTTTTCTTTTTTAGAATTATCAGAAACTATGATTTATTAATGTTAAATATCAGGTGACTTCCATTAAATACTATTCAACACTTTATGGTAAAATAATTACGGTATTTATTGGCGTATAACACGCCCCCCGCGTATAACACACACCTCAATTTAAGAAGGAAATTTCAGAAAAAAAACCTAAACATTATATCGGCGTATAAAATGCACACATCATTTGCCCTCTATTTTCAGGGAGAAAAAGTTTGTGTTAAGTTATACGCCAATAAATACGGTATCTAAGTTCTTACATCAACAGCATATAAAGAATCAGGTTGAATTTGATGCTCATCTCTCCGGTCACGCTGCCAAACTCTATTCTAAAGAAAAGGAATAAAATCTTAATACTTTTCACGATGAAGGCAATGCTCATGTCTGCCAACATAAAAATAACATTAGAATAAAAAAATACTTCGTCATTAATACAAGTAATTTATAAATTGTACTATTTACACATTTAAAAAAAGAATTAACATACCATACCTTTATTGAAAAATTGAATATAAAAGTTACTTCATTTGGAATACTAGCAAATGCAAAACAGTTAAGACACAGCAATTGGACAGCAAAAAGTAAAAAAAGTGTAAATTATTATTTAAATGATTAATTTCTTGAAAATTATTGCCACTGAGAAACAAAAAATATATTCAGGTACCGGTACCTGTAAATACTTGAATACTGAAGGATTATAATCTACAGTTTTTCTGTGAATAGCTTTCCGCATACGCTTGCCATCATACATAAGTCCTGCAATATCTTCCTGGCCTTTATTAGGTGGAAACCTGGGACGAAACTGATATGGACGATGGAATGATTGCGATCCTCCAGGAACCAGGGAAGGTCTAGCACCCTGGTCATTTTGTGGTAAGGAAAGAGAGGCTGTGGGTGGGGGGAATCTGTTGACAGCCTGAAGACTTTTGTTAGCCGCAGGAGGATTCAAAGAGTTTGTAATCGGTGGGGCACCATTTTTAACTGGTAAGACGGCAGTTGTTGCCATGATGAAAATGATGCACTTAGGGGATGGACAGTGTTATGTCAAGTTTTGCTGATCCATTCCGTTTGAAATATCCTGAGGAAATATATAAAATAAGTTTTAGTATGATATACATATATCATTTAAAAAAATGAGACCATGGTAATACAGCACAACTTTAACTGTTTATATATATATATATATAATTAAAAAAGGTTAAATTACTTTAGTATTAAAATTGAATTAAATATTAATTACTAATTACACTTTTTAGAAAAATTTCTTCAATACAAAAGATTTTTTTTAAATTATATGCATCAAACATTTCAATAGTTAAAGTTAAATGGATACATATAAATATTATATTTTCTCAAATAACCAACACCAAACAAATTCTGATGGCTATAGATGCATATTTTGCCTGTTAGACGGTAAAGAATGATGAAGAATTAGGCCCCAAACTACTCCAGAAAATTAATGCATTCAGAAACAATTGGAAATGATAATTAGAACATAAGCATTTTAATCTCCATCCTAGTGTTATGTGAAGCTTGATTTATATACATTATTTAAAAGAAATTATGTATCACACAAGCACAACATGAAATCATGCATATCTTGATTTAATCATTCTTTCCATATTTTATCACATTAAAAATTTTTTTTAACTTTTATAAATCTAAGATACATTTAAACTTGTAGTTTTGTTCTTATGAAAAGCTCTATTCAGTGAAATATTTAAATTTCATTTTATTATGATAAGTTTATTTTAGAATATAGTACTGGTGCAGCACTTAAATATTCTTAGCCAAAACTAGTGTACTAGTATGCAATTGTATTTGTATTCTAATTCTAGTCCCAGATTAAATTTTTAATGTTATTGTATTTTAGTACCGGGTACATTGCAATCTTAAGGTTTTCATTGCTTTCAGTTTCAGCGATAATTCTTTGGCTCCTGCCAGTTCAGTTTGCATTTGTTTGTTTGTTTTAAACTGGATTATAACTAATCATCATGCAAAGGCAGTGGTTGGGGGCAGTGGTTGGGGGCAGGAGGAAACTTCTTAAGAGTATTTATAATTTATTAAGAAAATATGTTGACATTATTATTAGTAATATTAGACATACTTTTTAAATAAAATAAAAAGCTCTTTGGTTTTGGGGGATGGCAAATTTTTTCAAAAAATACAAGGCTGCAGTGCTCCTTTGTACATTTTTTGGTTTATTATTTAGTTATCCTACATATACAATTTATTTAATTTAATCTGCCTCCTTTATCCTTCTGAACGTGCAAAGGATGAAAATTTGTAATGTTTACAAACAAAGCGTATGCACCATTAAGTTAGGGGTTCTTGGCCCTTTTGCAGCGTAGCAACTCTCTATTTCAAATAATTTCCTGCACTCACATTTGATTTCGATATATTTCCAGTACGCTGTTCCCCCCACCCCCCTTTCCTCGTGATAAAATAAATGGTAATAAACATGATTATCTCTGACTTACTGCATCCCTTGACACAGCCTGGTTGATAGCCTTTAGTTAAGTAAAATATAATACCGTATATAAATTTGTGTTTGGTTTTAAAGCAAATTTTCAGACAAGCTTATAAATAAGGTAAATGACAATTGTGTTGTTTTTTCTACATAAACCAAATTTCAAACTGGACCCATGTCTCTTCAAGATGAAACATTGTCTAAAACTGGTACATCTATTCAGAAAAAATGGTATACCGTAATAAAAAATGCAATTAATGTCACAAACAATTGTTTTGTTCAGTATATCCAGAAGCTGGTATATCCGGTATTGCAGCTTTTTTTGGAGCTGTAGCATGCTTTGTGCAAAGATTGCCTGGTTTTTCTGACAAAGCTTTGACAATTTTGCCACGGTAAACATCCAAAGACTTACTTTTAGTTTGCAGGAGGGGGGAGAACTGAAGAGAAGATTTGGTGCTGCTGGAAATTTAATCCCAGACCATCAGATTACTTGTCTATCTGACACTACTGACTGTGCCACCCACTGTGACTATATGGCAGGTTTTTTTTAACACATTAATTTTTAAAGAAAAATCAGTGAATTCTAACTAATTAACTTTGAGAACAAATAGAAAACTGCAGAACATGCTTAATAAGGTTAAGGTCACTAGTTAACTATAAGAAAGAAAAGTGCATAATTTTTATAAAAATTGTTTTTACTTTTGTAGTGGAACCACACCACTTTTTTGTCATATATTTCTTTGTTACAGTACGGTACAGGTAATTTTTTTTTTTAAATGTGCGGTCAGGTCTCCACCTCAAAAGCATTTGTGATAGGTAGTGGTATTCATAGTTGCCAACCTATGTCTGACATTTTTAAAGGTTTAAATCTAGTGAGACTTATCTTTAAAATAGTTATTATGCTTCTGGCGTTTTGTGTGATATATACTGGTAGCCCCATGTGGACTTCGGCAAGCCAGGAAGGGGGTGAAGAAATGCATATTTTTTGCGGACATACTTTATGGGAAATCCCTTAAGCTAAATTAATTACCGATACTTAAATAAAGATGCAAAAAGGTCTATGACCATATCATTTGAATCCTTAAAATAAGAAACCTTTATCAATATTTCATTCACATGAAGTTAGAAAGTTAATTTATATTTTTAAACAGGTACAGGTGAATATTTGGCAACCTATTTGAGCTGTGTGTGTATATTTGGAAAATGCGTAACTTGGTAATTATGTTGGTGCCCTCCCACCCCATAAAGAATTGTTTTAATTTTTAAAAATAACACTGGCATCAGAAACCTTTACTGGCATTTTAAAACAAATAGGTTTTTTTTGGAGGGGGAAGGGAGAAGAGAAATGCTAGACAGGACAATTTTTTCAACTTAAATACTGTACTGCTATTGAGTAACATTAGAATAAAAATGTAAATCTGGGACTTAACACATGCTGTAAATATTGTAAACATTGATATCGAGTAAAGGAAATACTAAACAAAAAATATTACTTTACTTTACCATACATAGAAATATTAATATGAACTGAACAGTTGTTATCAGAATATTAATTGCTCTACTAATGCATTGGTTATCAACCAGTGGCTCTGAAGATGCATACCATTCTTTGAAGGAATAAATGTAGCTCTATTTTTTTTACCAATCCATAATGATAATGAAATGTGGCTCAAAAATATTTATTTAGATATAATTTTTTTTGATGATTCATTACATTAAAAAAAGGTTGCCGAACCCTACTCTAAGGTGTTCACGATTACTTGAAAGTCCCTTAAATGACGAGTGATCTAAAATCTCATAGCATATCACACTCTACATGATTTAATAGGTTTGCAATAACTGAACTAGATGAATCGAGAATGCTGAACGAAATGCTAAACATTTAATATCATCATATGGCTAGATGACCTGTCAATTAAGACGGTTTTTCCCTAACCAGCAGCCAATTTCCTGTTCCATCATATATGGCCAGTATAAAATTTAAAATAAGATAAGTGGAAGCAAAAATTGCTAATAATAAATTATACTATTAATAAATAAAAGTGTTTTTAATTATAATCCATACATGATTTTTAATGTGAATTATGAACACACCAGAGTAACCTGCAGTCTATTTGTTAAAGGCTAAAGGTTATTTATAAGCCTCTTGTTACAATTACAGTTTAGCCTTTCATGTATACCAAGTACTGGTACTCTCTAAACCGCATACAATGTGTCATGTGTACCTAACCCTAACAAATGCTATGTCATATTAGACCAACTACTAAGTGGTTTCTTTTCACTTTTTCCTCCAAACCAAGCAATTTTAGAAACTGGATTTTGGAAATTTTACCATCCCTTATTATAGTTAAATGTGTTCCCTGTAAGTACTGTAAGTCAGTGTTTCCCAAAGTGTTGATACACACAAGACACATTGCTGGTCATCTACAGCATCCTGGTCTATTTCAAAACATCTTGAGTAAGAAGTCTTGCCATTGTATCAAATAGGCAAGAGAGTGAGGCTGACGAATTAAGGAACTCTCTCTCACAAGTCAAGGCTATTACTACTTAAGATGAAAATTGCCTTGGTCATCTTCACTTGCGAAGGACGAACAATAATAAATTATTATTATTATGGTTTTATAATAGGCTAATTAAACTCATTTAAATTTAATTAAACATAAAACAGGAGACATTCAACATGTTAGACAATAAAAAATAATGTTATAAATTGTTTAGGTTCTACCAGGTAACCTCTAAGTTCTAAGCCTAGTGTAGTGTAGTCTTTTAAGAAAATAATAATATGGGACTTATGGGAGATTTTGAAGTCATAACTTAAACCAGGTTAATTAAAGATTTTTTAAAGATACCTATTCGCCATTCGCCGTATCATTATTAATTGCTGAGGCGAGTTATTTGAATATTGAATGCAAATGCAAGACATTTCAAATAACTTTTGCAATATGAGTCTAAGCACAACATTTGTTGTTACAACTTCCACTGACACTGAAGTAAAATAATATAATGTTAAACTTATTTAGGCTATAATTGGCCACCTGAATACAGAATAATGATAATAATTTATATAATGATAATAGTAATAGTCTGAAGAGGGCATGAAGTCTCTGCTTAACTGTTGAGTGATTTACTAAAATCTATTATTTAAGTCTATTATCATTGTCAAGAAGTACCGTATAAGTTAACATACATTACACATAACCAAGAGCCATACAAAATACACGGGTTTTCTGTATTTAGACATATAATTACATACGAATTACTAAAAGTGTATAAACTGTAACGACAACATGCTACTAGTACTACTATTTGCTTCACGCTTTAAATATTTTTTTTTTCAAGTTCTTTCTTTCATTGAAACTTTCATAAGAAAACTTTCTTCCTGGCATACACAAAAGAGGTAAACCATAAGCAATAACATTTTCAATAAAAGTGCGTCTTTAAATAGGAAGGGATAAAAGTCGATTCAATACCGGTCAACATAAATTAGCATGTAGCCCTATTCCAAATAAAATTATAACGGTACACCATGGCATGTTTTCTTCTCTCCCGTTCCAACATGGCGTTGGCGTTTGGTCTTTAACAAGACAGTGTCAAAATTGTTAAAAATACAAACATATTTATTAAACCGAAATTTGATGTGTATTTTTTTCACAAACTACATTTATACCTTTTATTTCAAAGTATTATCTCGTATCATCATTTATTTTCCAGTGAATAAAGTATAGTAATTTGCAAATTCCAATTAAAATTATTTACTACGGATGAGCCAAAATCTGACCAAGTCGAACTAAGGGGAACAATCAATCAAGTCAAGAAAGCTCATTTTAAAAATAATAAAATTATACTATGCCGGTACCGCCGATATTCTGTAATTTTAGTGCTGTCAACAAAATAATGGGAGGCGGGAAAAGTTTGACAGTTTTTTAAAAGGGGGTGGGGGAGTCAACAGAAATTTACTTCAAAAATTGTATCTTTCTTTGATATAATAATAATAAATTATTTAATAATAATAAGACGTCTTATATAGCGCGGTACCCCAGCCTAGGCCTGGGCTCACCGCGCTGTACATAAAATTTTTATCAAAAGAGACATTATCATGACATTAAAATATAAGTATATATATATATATATATACTTATATTTTAATGTCATGATAATGAATATATATATATATAAATCATTAATTTTCATGGGCCTCTACTCTACAACTTGTAAAATAATTGTTAATTTTAAATAATGAATGACTACAAAAACTGGTATAAGTATAATTTCTGATAGTAGGGCAGGGTACCTTGCTGCATCCATGTACCGGTACTGGCATAGGTGCACCAGTTTGGGAAACGATGCGGATATCCTAACGATCATTTCAAATGTCAAACTATGTTCAGATTAATTTAATAAAACACATGTTCCTCTATCTCTAAAACAAAATTAATTATTTTTTTTAAAGATGCGGTCAATTCGAGTGGCTGTCAAAAGACAGAAATAGGTGATGGCAATTAGAATTGAATTAAAATGCTCAAACTAAGCAAGGATTATGTTAGCCGGTTTCAATTTTCATAAAATTAATATGGCAATGTAAAATTATTCACTTTTGCAAAAGAGGAACATTTGGCTTGTAAACATCTGAGAACGTGAAGAAGATGAGGAAAAAAACTAGCTATAAACTTACTAAAAATACTATTTGTACCTTATCAATTATTTTATAAATTCAGCAATAAAAATATACTCTTGTAATAAAATGTAATTTTTAGAAATGTAAAAAGACGTTTATTTAAAAAATGTAATACATTGGTTGTTACCCGCCTATTTCTATCCAAAATATATCTTAAGAATTAAAGAATTAGAAAAAGATCCGTATTTATTTATCAATTTTCTTGGGGTTGGGGGTTTAAACACTTGCTGACATAATTAATTAGAGGGTCCTTGAAAGTTTGACGGTTGTTGACAAAAAAAAAAGGGAGGGGGGTAAAAATTGCCTAAAATTTGTTGAATTGATAAATGGGCGACCCTTAGCCCACATATGTCAAACTCAAGGCCCGCGGGCCACATCCGGCCAAGTGTAAAATCATATCAGGTCCTCGAGGTCTTGACCGGCGCACACTCTTATCCAAGTGAACGCTATGGTGTGTCCCAATGCACACTTTGCTGAAAAGCGTGGCTTAGATCGCGCCAAGTTCGCACGGCGCTTTAGTGACTTTGAAGCACAAAATTGTAATTTCGAGCTGTTCCGTAACCCATTTGTTAATATGCGTGGAAACTGCGCCTGTAAATTTGCAGATGGAGCTAACGGAGCTGCAGTGTAATGGGGCACGAAAGGCAAAGTACGACACTGTGTGGCCTATAAAATTCACTTGTTTCATTCCTGAAAAGATGTTCCAGCTTCGTCTACATGCGGCTCAAACCTAAGGCATTGTTGGGTAGGACATAGATATGTGAGCAGCTGTTTTCTCAGATGAAGATTAACAAAACATCACGCAGGAGTCGTCTCACTGATGAACACTTGCAGTCCATCATGAGAATCTCAATGACACAGAACGTTACTCCCAACATAAACGAACTTACTTGTTTATGTAGCCAAGAAAATGCGCAAACATTCAGCTCTACCAAATTGGCATAAGAACGAAAAAGTATATGCCAATGATTTTTAATTATTAAAACTTTTTTTGTTTTCATTTACATATATGTTTTTTTTTAAATATTAATTTTCCGTTATGGAATGGTTATCCTGTTCGGCCCGCAACCTTACATGTGATTTGTGTTTTAGCCCGCCGAGTGATTGAGTTTGACACCCCTGCCTTAGCTTTATGTTTTTTGTTGTTTTTTTTAATAATTATTTTCATTAAGTGGAGGGGTGAAAAGCTATTTAAAGGTTTACGCACTGTTTAAAATTTCATTTAAATATTTAAAAACAATGTATAAAATTAGTACTTTAAAAAAATATTAACCTGTCAATCCGGACTAGCCTGTATTGTTGGCGTATTTTTTTAACTGTAAACCTATAACTGTAGGCCTATATTTAAAAAAAAAAATGTTTTCCATGTTAATAAAATATTTTCTGTATTTCAAATCATTGTTTTAGCAACTAAATGTTGTTTTTATATATAATTATATACTTTTTTTACATTAAAATCTAGCGCCCATTTGAAAATGTAAAAATAATTTGTTATTGATTATTTTTGTTTTAAATAAATTAAAAGTGTTCATGTGAGTAAGTGAAAAATCTTAAAATAAATTATTAAATGATTTAAATGTTTTACTTCATGCTGAATTAAGTAGTTCAAATATGTAGCTAAGTAAGTTCTGTCCATTATTTTAAATTGTTTCTCCCTCAACACACATCCTTCCAATGTGACGTCACTTAAACAGTTACGACGTCGGCGCTCAAACGATGACGCCCATAAGCATAAATGATGTCACTAAACTTAGTAGAAGTAGGTACTCCAAACCAATTTTTCAAACTAAACCAATAACAATTTTGAGTGTTTAAGATGCAAGCTCTAAAAATTCTAAGAATGTGGACATTAAATTTATGACTTTCTGACCATTATAAAGAAAGTTATGCTATTTTAAAGTTTTTTTCTCGGGTTACCTTTTATGAAATGACGAAGACCCATATTCATGAGTCATTATCTTAAAATGTATGTCACCTAATCTCATTTACTTTACAATATTTACACTATACTGTACAGAGAACAAACACAATTTTTTAATAGAGTATAGGAAATCGAATTTTTGTAATTTATTGTCGTAAAGATGGCATTTTGTAAAATTTTCACATTTTACCAAGGGAGGCAAAAAAATCACAAAAATTACCCATTTTTAGAAATTCAACACAAATTATCTAATTTACTCACAAACATCATTTATACATCAATTTAAAAGAGAATTAAAGATCTATACAAATATGCAAACAAGAAGTACTTTAGACCAATACATATTTGACAAATAGCAAAATAGTCAAGGGGTGGTAATTTATTTCACACTTTTTCACATTTTTCAAAATAAAAAATAAATAAATAAATAACCTCCTATATGTTTGAAATCACTGAAGAAGTGAAGATAATTGTAGTCTTTATATAAAATAAGCATACTTGGCACCATGAAATTCCACAGAATAATATAAAAAAATTTATTGACAACGCTTTCTAAAGTAATAATTACGGGAATGGAGTTTTACTTTTTGCAACACGTGGCAATGGGTGTATGCCTATAGACACAATTCTGCACAAATTTACGTTGCATCATTAAGGAAAGCCCCCTTGAAATTTAATTATATTTCATCCTTTGTATTTATTTTTTAAAAAAAAGCTTTTCCCGAGTTGAAATAATTCCTATTTTACACAAAATGACAATAATTTATTTAATGAATGCACGAAGATTGATTTACATGTCATTTCATTTTAAAATCTTTATTTGTCGTCATCGATTGAGAATTTTTTGCTAACAATGTTAAAACTGCTTTAGGGATACAACTTTTTTTTGTCTAGAGGTACGAGGTGATTTCTGAATTTAGTTTTTTCTTAACAAAGCAGTCGCAGACTTGTTGCATTTTTTAAAATGTTTATTTTACCATTTTAAAAGAAGTATTTTAATTTTAATTTAAAAAATGCTAAAATTAGATACCTTACCGCACCCAAATCCTTATCTTTATTATATAATTGGACTATTGGAAACTGGTGAAAATAGAATTTGTTTTAAAATATGAAGTTAACAAAAAATTAATTGAATTTTGTAATAATCGGTTTTGTATTTGTCGGTAATTAGCGTCGTAAAACTCGATGTTCATTTCCGTTTCCTGAAATAATACAGAAATAGTACTTTAAAAAGTCATAGTCTACCTCACATTTCTGCTATGATTTAATTTTCTCTTCTCTAATCTAATGGCCCTTTTTGTATCAGAAAAGATATTTCCTTTTTCACTAATATGTGAAATTTATGTCACCATCCCAAACTTTACTACAGAACATTGAAAGATAACTTAAAACATTATTTTTTTTGCCAGTCGTGCTGAACTTGCATTTGCCATTTGCACTGCAAATTGCAGTATCCGTAGAGCCGTAGAAACGAGTGCACTGTACTTTACTTTACGTCTTTTGGCACTCTGGTCGTAGCGTTACAAAAATAAATTCTTGTACTTGTAGGCGGCTGGTTGATGGCCTAAGTCTACGTATTAAAAAAACAAGTTTTTAAATTTGTTAAATAATAAACTTATTTTTCACTCTTGAATTGTGTAAATATGGCTAACATAAATACCAACCAAAATCATGAAATGAAAATTGCTGTGGTCTGTTCAAGTAATCAAAATCGAAGTATGGAAGCCCACAGTTTTTTGAGGTAAAATTTTTTTTTGATCTAACCTTTCTATCTGAATTTATTTCCATTTTTTTATCCATTCCTTCCAGTTTCCATATTGGTCTCAGGATGAGCCCTAGGGCTAGGGTCAGGGTCAGGGTACAGGATTTAATATTATCTTTTAACTAACTACCATGAGCCTGTGGGAGCAGCTGGGCATTTCTTTTGTTATGGCCATGAGCCGCTGGTAGCGCCAATGTTTGTATCATAGTAAATATTACCTAGATTTAATTCGGTCACAGCGGGTTTTTCAATCTGGTAGCTAATCAGTTAACTTGACCAATGATGACCATTATAATTCAACGGCATTGATAACTTAAGGGTGGGGGGGGGGGGGGGGGGCAGGGGTGATTTGTGACAAATGAAGATGTTTATAAGTTATGTTGTTATTTAAATTTTGACATGTGGGGAGGGGGTGTAAACAAATAAGCCAAAATAGCATAACATCTTTGTTTTTTATGATAGCTGCCATCCATAAACAATGCCACACATTTAGGGTGGTTGAGTTTTGTGATAAATTTATAAATCTTTTTCCCTTGTGACAAATTTGTGATCATTGGTGGGTGTGGGTTGTAAAAAATCTGCTAAAAATACCCAGACATCATTAATGGATGGTTTCCTTAATTCAGACGTGTGAGCCTGCAATTTATAACAGTTTTGAAGAAATTTTTTGTAAATAATAATAAATTATAATTAATAAGACATTTTCGCTTAGCCCTATCCCCAATACTCTACAAAGTTAAAGGAAGTAATTTTCTAAAATATCAATAAACATTTTCTGTAGTGACTCATAAAGCTTGGACACATAAATTATTATAAACTACCCTTAATATTTTCTTATTTACAGGTACCGGTACAGCTTTCATAGCAATTTTCCCCCAGCACTTATTTGAAACCCCCATATCTATAGTTTATGTCAGCTAGTAAGAAATGTGTTAAAACTAAGGTTAAGCAATATAGTTTAATAATAATGACATTTATTAGAGATTAAAAATTCCATAATTGTCATACAATTATATTCTAGACACATAAAAAAAACGAAGTGTCTACACGTCTGGCGCGCCGGACAAATAGTGCGCGAGATATACGTCCGGCGGCATGTCACGTGACCGCCGGACGGCTAGTAGTTTTTATTATTCCGAACGAAATTCAATTTGGGAGATATTGTGTGGTCTTGTGGTAGAGTGGTCGCTTGGCGTTATTATGATTTGAGGATCAATACCTGGTGTAGGATCGTTTTTTTTTCCCCCATTTTAATTAAAAATATTTTATACTATATTTATATTATCATGTTCGTTCAGCAGCAACAGTAGTTTCATGAGAAATTTAAAAATATTTTGTAGCAATTTAAACAATTTAAAATGAAATCTTTTACTTTTATTGGTTGCCTACTCCAAACTGGCCCCTAATTTATTTTATGGATTACTTGTACACAAACTCAAATAACAAACTAAACAAAAATGTTTACAAGCCACTTTCGCTTAAGTTTTTCTCTATTATTTGCATTCAAGATACTCAGTACATTACTTGGTAGAGAAATAGATTTTAAAATTAACTATAGTTTTCAATCATTCGCAGTCACGTGACAAGGCTGACCGACAAGATATCTCTCGTCACTTTGTTACGGCGGTCATGTGACTTAGTCGCCCTACAAAGATATGCGGGAGATATACGTCCGGCGCGCCAGACGTGTAGACACTGCCTAAAAAAAAATAATTTAATATCTTTTATTTTCAGCAAAAAAGGGTTTTGTGTTAAGTCATTTGGAACTGGCAACATGGTAAAACTCCCAGGACCAGCACCAGATAAACCAAACATTTATGATTTCAGCATTACTTATGATGCAATGTACAGGGATTTAATGGAGAAAGACACTGAATTGTATCCTTATGTTTTTAATAATTGGACTTTTTAAGCTAGATCATGGAAATGACACATGGCAGTAGTCTATGGCAGTGAACATAAAAAGAGTTGAGTGCAATGGCAGATACACAAACAAACAATTTATAAGCAGCTTAAAAACTGTATCAAGAGCTCAGAAAAGGCAGGTGTATAAATAACTCCATAATTCCAGAGGCTAAACAATTTTAAGACTCATCATCACAGCACCTGAAAATATTAATCTGCATCCCGAATTTTCTTGTTTTTAAGCCTGTGCTGGTGACTGTTAGTGGTGTCTCTCCCCCCCCCCCCCCCCACATTATCTTCATTTTNCCATAATTCAATTCTTTTGTGGAGAACAAAGGGCATGTTAGTGGACTTTATGGACATGCCACATGACTTTGTGGCAGCAGAGCAGGGTGCAAAGTATGGAAGGGCAGCAGAGCAGGGTGCAAAGTATGGAAGGGCAGTAGAGCAGGGTGCAAAGTATGGAAGGGCAGCAGAGCAGGGTGAAAAGTATGGAAGGGCAGCAGAGCAGGGTGCAAAGTATGGAAGGGCAGTTTGTAGTTTAATGTGAAAAGTTCGCTGCTCAGCCCTGGATCAAGAAATAATTTTCATTCTAATTGTTCCGTGTTATAAGGAACATCTAAAATAAATAATTGCAAGTGTGTGTGTTGGTATAATCCTTAAAAAAGTTTTTCAGATATACACAGAATGGAATTCTGTATATGTTGGACAGAAACAGACGAATTAAACCCAACCCAGAAAGATTTCAGCTGTCGAAAGAACGCTTTGATTTGATCATCACATGTGAGGAGAGAGTCTATGATCAAGTTTTGGAAGGTAGGAATCAAAGTTGATTTAGCCTCTTTACTTTTTTTACAAGTTTAATCCATGTCACCCAAATATTAATTATGTTTTGGTGAGATTGAAAAACTTAAGCCCTTAGCCTTAACACCTTATATCGACACAGCACAGAGTAAATGAAAAACCTTAAAATAATGATAAAGCTTATTTGAAAATCACGCTTCATCCCCAAAGGCTCGAAGCGCGGTTCAAAGTCATCAATATTAAAAAATAAATGAAAAAATCTATATTTTACCACATTGAAATACAAAACGCAACATTACTAAAACTACATACGAAAATACCCATTCTAAGTCTTTCATCCCTTGCAACCAAAAACAACAAAGGCCACTTTACATTTTCCCATGAAATATAAGTCTACAAGAGTGCAAACGCAATAACTTTGTCAAATCGGATGATATTGATACCTCTTAATTTAAGATTAATTTATATACAGAATCTGTATTATTACTGATAGTATAACTCACTGATAAATTAGCCTTAATTCCATCTAAATTGTCAAATTCATCATCCGAGTTGATTTTATAAAAAATTGCCATTGACTGGTGTAAACAGGTCAAAGTTTGACAAAAATCAGAGCAAGCAATTTTTTTTATTTTGAAAATTGTAGTTTATCCACTTAGGACGATATAAACTTTATTATGAGTAATAGACCAGCCGTAATAATTATATTTAAATAATTTTAACAGATTTTGAAAACAGAGAAAGGAACGATGAACAAGCTGTTCATATAATTAATATAGACATTCAGGATAACCATGAAGAGGCAACTATTGGTGCATTTATGATTTGTGAACTTGTTACGATGGTAAGTCAGCTCTTTAATCCAAACAGAGAAGTCACTACAAACTATAGTCTGCTAGTCATACAAATAACTTTTTGTCGTCCATACCATATATATATACTCAGTGGATTCTTCTTTTTTGGGACCCAACAACTAAAGTTCCCTGCTAATTTTTTTTTTTTTTTAAAGAATGCACACAAACAAAAGAACCCTATTAATATTATGAAACACAAAGCCAAAAGAAATGGGGCGGGGGTGAAACCTTTAAAAAAAAATTGAACATAAAACTTGATGCTGCTGGATTGCCTATTTTCAAAAATAGCATTGTAATCAACATTATGCAAGCAGTTCTTTTTGATTATGTCTAAACACATATATGTTATTATCTGTCCTAGTTATCCCGCATCATGTACCGGTACCAGCAGAGTTAATAGATGACACCTTTGTTTTTCAGAACCCACTGTATATAAACATTTATTTGAGCTGCTGTGTGCAAATAAGGTTGAACTCATGATTTAACGATATAAATATGAATGTTTCTCATACTTGAAAACACTCTTGTCTATGGTTAAAATTCCAACACGGGAAGTGGAAGTGAAATGCAAACTTTCTTAAATCATTTATTGGCTACATTTAATTAATATTATCAATCTATTTAATTAAAATACCTTAATTTAAGCCAGGCCTGAACAACATACAGCATTGCGATGCGGCCCCCCAATACCCACTTTGCGGTCCGCAAAGTAGCTATATATTCTTTATTCTTATTATTTTCTTTATATCTTTCCACCCTGTCTTATTTTCTTTTGACCGGCTCAAGTTTTTCATTAAGTATTACTACTGTCTTCCTTACATTTTGAGTTGTGCAGGCCTGATTTAAAACATTGATAAATATTTTTATTATCTGTTATTTCAAGTTAAAATTATGTGTTTTTTTGTTTGTTTGACCCATCCAGCTTTATTCATCAGAAGATTTGGACAATGAAATTGACGAAATTCTTCAGGAATTTGAACATAAAGTGAACAGGCCCTTGCTGCACACTGTCCAGTTTTACTGAAGCCCAATGTTATTGTAAAACTTGTAAATAAAAAGTTGTTATAAAAAATGTTACTGTAACCCATGAAGCTATGAAACTGTGAAGTTATCTGTGCCGGAGTAAGTTCATTAAAAATTGCAGTCTTGTATACATATTCTGTAGTCTGGTTGGCAAGGTTGTTACAATTGGTGCTTCCCCCCGAAGCACGAACATTTCAAATGATCCTGGCCAAAAATTGTTTTGGGTGGTGAGGGTGCAGACACTGTTTTGTGTGGCCAATTTTGGTATCTGGCAATAAATAATAATAATAATAATCAAAGTAACTTATGTTTTTGTTCTTCCTTGCCCAGTTAGGAGTGATGTTTGACCCTATGAGTTTAAATGGAACATGTAGGGTTTGAAATTCTAGCCTCAAAACTCTATATAGGACATTGCATTCTAGCCTAGAAACTTTATAGGACTTGACATTCTAGCCTAGAAACTCTTTAGGACAGGACATTCTATCTAGCCTAGAAACTCTATAGGACTTGAAATTTTATCTAGCCTAAAAACTATAGCACATGACATTCTTGCCTAAAAACTGTAAGACTTGACAGAAACTCTAGACTTGACATTCTTATTCTAGCCTAGAAACTCTATGGTTTCTCATGCAGGATTACCACCAGAACTTTTAACTTCTTTTTAAAATTTTTTTTTACTTGGCTTCATAAATTTCTCACTGATTGTTAGGGATATCAGTATGGAAAGGTTTGACTAAATTGTTGAGGTATAGACAAATTTATCATTATTCCTGTTTTATTAAGAAAGAATCTGCCGAGTAGGCTTTTTTTGCAGTGTGTCTGACAATTTTCTTGTTTCAAGCTTGGTCATATTGAAACTGCCATAGACATATCAACCAAATTTTTACTTGCTTTAACTTAAAATACACTCAATACCATCATATCTAACCAACTCAAATGAAACTTTTTAATGAAATAAGGTTCATAACATACTGTTAATATTAATACTGACTGGAAGGGAAATAATGCCATTGGTATTCGGCAAAAACCTTCAGTAATTGTTTCCCTTGCAAAGAGTAGTCACTTTGGCTTTAAAAAAAAAGTCTGTTTAAAAATTTGATAACACATTAATGATTAGTAGATGCATACCCAGCAATGAGTACCGGTAATGTTAGCAGATGCATACCGGTGCCCACTAATGAGTACCGATAATGATTAGCAGATGCATACCCACCAATGAGTACCGGTATAATTATTTATATTAGTACATTTATAATAATTATTTATATTGGTACAATGTATTTCTAAAAAATCCATACGCTTTGTTTTCTCTGTATCCGTGTGCCCTCAAAATAGAAGAAGAAGATCTGTGGATCTCGCCTGACCAATGTTTGATTCCCGGTTAATACTAATTCCCTCTCCCAGTTATTAAATTTAAAAGAAAAAAATAAATTTTTAGTAGGCCTATCTCATACTTAAAAGTGTCTGCTTATATAAAAACAAGCGAGATAAATTATCTATTTAAAATAAATAATAGGTCTATTTATGATGCAAAAATAATATCTTATTACTTAAAATACATTTTTCCTAGAAATTCATAACATTCAGCTTAAGATAAAATCTTATATCGCCCCAACCCCTGTTCAAAAATACATACTATACAGGACAGTGCATAATACAATAATACATACCACGGTACAAAAAACACTTATTACTATTTCTTTACAATACTGGTACAGTGAAACAATATCATCATTGTTGACACAAATGAACAGTGGCTAATGAGCAGAGGTGGAAGAGAGGTGGCCTAGTGGTACTGTGAGCAGTGGCGGCTTTTACCACCCCTATTGTTATCGTGAGCAGTGGTGACTCTGAGACCACTGGATTAAGCTTGAGGCACCTATGTTAAGCTTGAGGCCCCTAAGGTAATCTTGAGGCCCATAAGGTAGGCTTGAGGTCCATAAGGTAGCTTGAGGCCCCTTAGGTAGCTTGAGGCCCCAAAGATAGGCTTGAGACCCCCTAAGGTAGGCTTGAGGCTCATAAGGTAGGCTTGAGGCTCATAAGGTAGGCTTGAGGCTCTCAGGTAAGCTTGAGGCCTCTAAGGCAAGCTTGAGGCCATAAGGTAACTTGAGGCTCATAAGGTAGGCTTGAGGCCCAAAAGGTAAACTTGAGGCTCCTAAGGTAGCTTGAGACCCCCAAGTTAGGCTTGAGGCCCCAAAGATAGGCTTGAGGCCCCTAAGGTAAGCTTGAGGCCCCTAAGATAAGCCTGAGGCCCATAGGGAAGTTTGAGGCCTTTAAGGTAAGGTTGAGGCCCATAAGGTAAGCTTGATGCCCCTAAGGTAAGCTTGGGGCCCATAAGGTAAGCTTGAGGCCCATAAGGTAAGCGTGAGGTCCATAAGGTAGGCCTGAGGCCCCTAAGGTCAGCTTGAGGCCCATAAGGTAAGCTTGAGGCCCATAAGGTAAGCTTGAGGCCCCTAAGGTAGGCTTGGGCCCACAAGGTAGGCTTGGGGCCCATAAGGTAGCCTTGAGGCCCCTAAGGGTAAGCTTGAGGCTCATAGGATAGGATTGAGACCCCTAAGGTAAGCTTGAAGCTCTAAGGTAGGCTTGAGGCTCATAGGATAGGCTTGAGACCCCTAAGGTAAGCTTGAGGCCCTTAAGGTTAGCGTGAGGCCCCTTAGGTAGGCTTGAGTCCAATGAGGTAAGCTTGAGGCCCATAAGGTAGGCTTGAGGACTTTAAGGTAAGCTTGAGGCCCATAAGGTAGGCTCTAGAGCCAAGTAGCAGCTTGAGATCCCTGCTGAAAATTTAGGACCATGCACTCAGATAGTGATAGTCTTAACTAGAATCTTACTGCTGGTAATTTAGGACCATGCACTCAGATAGTGATAGTCTTAACTAGATAGAATCTTACTGCTGGTAATTTAGGACCATGCACTCAGATAGTGATAGTCTTAACTAGAATCTTACTGCTGGTAATGTAGGACCATGCACTCAGATAGTGGTAGTCTTAACTAGAATCTTACTGCTGGTAATGTAGGACCATGCACTCAGATAGTGGTCGCAATCTGGCCTTAGAGGGTACTTCGCGGTAATTATTTGACGAATCAAAGTACGTCTTAGGGTTATGCAAGTTCTCTAATTACTTCCTAGGGTCACGCAAGTCATCAAAGTACATCTTAGGGTTATGCAAGTCATCAAAGTACGTCTTGGGGTTATGCAAGTTATCAAAGTACATCTTAGGGTTATGCAAGTTATCAAAGTACATCTTAGGATCTTTGGTTCATGCAAGTTATCAAAGTACGTCTTGGGGTTATGCAAGTAATTCAACGTAAAAGCTACCACCAACCTGCACTATTATTTGACTCTAAATCCGTCATGGAAACTATTAAAAGCAAGATATATTTTTTGAAAGTGATTTACCGAAAATTTTGAAAAATTCCGGTTTTCATTAATGCGATCCCGGTATTTTGAATCATCCGTTTTAGTTCGGTATCCCTGTTCCAGGTTTCCGGTTGACAAGTCTGCTGTGGCTTGCCGATTAGGAAGCGTCGGCCACCAACCCCCTCGGCGTTTGCCTGGAAACATAACTACTGGGCACGCCCCGCGTGGGCAGACAAAGGTTGTGCTCGGTACCTGCCGTACATAAAACAGCTCCCACAGGGCTGCCGGTTGTGATATTTCGCAGTCGGAAAGTTAGGCAGAGCCAAGGTAGGGATCATGATTACAAGACGGGTATGAGGCCAGAGGCGAGGGTGGTAACCTCTGGCCGAGGATTCAAATAATGCAGCCGTGAGAACGCTGCCCCTAGGCAACCGTTTCGTCCCAGCTACAGCGTGAACTAGTCGCGTTGTGGAAGCCCACTGTGGAATCCCTCTTATAGGGCGTCCGACGCTTTCCCGGGATGGGTGGGGGAAGATATTAGGACGTAATTTTTTCCATCCCAACTCCTGAGAAAGTCGATTGAGTGCACTATTTAAACGCATAGTGTCGGATTGACCGGGTGCCTCCTGGTTGGGGCGGCCCCCAGGCGGGGCCTGGTTGGGGCGGCCCCCAGGTGGGGCCTGGTCAAGCGCCCAGGCGGGGGACTTGGCTGGGGGGCCCGTGTGGGGGGCGTCCTGACGAGTGGGCATCTCCAACGTGCCGCTCCGCGGCCGGATAGTTGGACCGGGGAGGGTTAATTTGGGGGGGGGGGCATAAGAGTCTAGACTCGCCCTGCTGACGCCATTTCTTAATGTAACATTAGTTCGGTATCCCGGTATTTTAGAGAGTCGGTGTTCCAGTTTGCGACCCCGCTAACATAGCGATCAAACTGTTGAGATATTCTAAAGATATCCGGTTGTACATTTTTGGAGATGTTGAGCTACAATGGGCGTATCTGGAAAGCGGGGAGGGTTGACTAGTAAGGTAGAGGGGGTGGGCGTTGACATTATTGACCAGCTGGTTCGAACACATACCCAAGTGACCAACGGATGGGAACACCTACCGAAGTGACCAAGGGATTCGAATACATACCCATGTGACCGAATGATTCGAAAACCTTTCCAAGTGATTGGAACTCGTTCCCAAGTGACCAACTGGTTCTCGATTTATTTAAATTTAATTATTAATACCTTGAATTTACAATAATTTAACCAAACAAGCCAAACATTTTTGTTGCCCATTTCTGCATGAGCCACCCCCACCCCCCTAAAACTAGGTCTTCCCACATTATATCCACACAATTTTTTTTTCCAAAGTATGTTCACTCCCCTGGACATTGTTTTCATATGAATCCAAAGCAAACATTTCATCGCTATCAGAGGCTTCGTCTTCTGTGTTGTTGGCTGGCCGTCCAACGTTGGCAGGTGGTTGGCCGTCCAACGTTGGCAGGCGGCTGGCCGTCCAACGTTGGCAGGTGGCTGGCCGTCCAACGTTGGCAGGCGGCTGGCCGTCCAACGTTGGCAGGTGGGTGGCCGTCCAAAGTTGGCAGGTGGCTGGCCGTCCAACGTTGGCAGGCGGCTGGCCGTCCAACGTTGGCAGGTGGCTGGCCGTCCAACGTTGGCAGGTCCGAGAGATAACCCAATCTGAACCTGAGCATTTAACAAACTGCTATCGTTGGTCAACGTAAAGTTCAAAGTTCAAATACGGCAAGTCGTTGACACAATCCGTTTTCACTGGATTCTCAGGTGGAGGAGGAAGTTTATGGCGAAGTAATTAATGGGAGTAATGATAGCGCAGTTAATGGGAGTAATGAGGGCTTGGTTAATTGGAGGAAAAAGGGCGTCGTTACTGGGAGGAATGAGAAGTAGTATCCGAGAGGGCAGTAAAAGAATTGTCGCCCTCTCGG